CCATGATTGCAAGAGCTTTCTTGTCTTCCACTGACATGCACACGTTAGAGTCACCCGCCAAGCCGTAATTCTCTATGGCCCAGAACCTTTCGACTTGCTGCATGAGACAATCTTTTCTCGCGGACTCCACTAAGCGAACAAAGTTAACATTCAGATGGCGTTCTTGGCAATCGATGCGTCCCACTGGGCCCATGAGTGTCCAACCAAGAGGTGTTCGAATGGCATATGGCTCTCCTCTATTACCACGCCTTTCTTCTAATACCCAGAAGGCCTCTGGCGCGTTAGTGCCTACGATTAATCGGACTTCTTTCTCGCTAATACTTTGCAACTTTATGTCTTCAAGGTGAGGCCACTGTCTTGTATCTTGCTCTGATGGGATACTTCGGCGTGAGGCGTTCAGTCTATCAACAGTCCATAGTCTTTTAACTTCAACCTTGTCAGTACCATCAAGTGACTCTACGGTTAGGCTGATCTCACGACCAACTCTTGGGCTGTCTTCCCTTTCTTGAGTTGTCAGGAAGAATGTTTTTTCTTGCCCTCGAACTCCAAGCTCCCTCGCTAGCGTCTTGTCGCATAAGGAGATATCTGAACCGCTGTCTAGAAGTGCGTACGTTTCCACTTCCTTGTCTGCATCGCGACTTCGGACTTTCACAGGGACCACCCTCAGGCAAACCTTTCCCCCTCCTGTTGAGGTACTGTTAGTCTGTCCACTTGATAACAGCGTGCCATTGCTTACTTGGGTTCCTTGTTCAACCGAGACTCTGGTTCTGTTTTCAACTGATTGCTGTGAGGGCGGAGGGTGAAGTAAAGTATGGTGTCGTCTCTTACAACCTTGGACATCACATGTACTCCTTGCTAAGCATCCCACTGCAATGTGGCCGTACTTGAAGCAATTATGGCATAACTGAGCTTTCCTCATCACTTGTAGACGTTCTTCGAAATTCTTCTCTATAAAAACCTTGCATTTCGCTAAGGGGTGAGCTGCATTGCATACCGGGCAGACTGCATATCTCGAAGATGGGGCTTCTTTGTGACCAGGTGAACTCAACTGTCCTTCTCTGAAATCGATCTCTTGAGTACTGAATGCGTTACCGCGCTCATCAGGCAATGTAGCTCTTTTAGGCTTAGGCTTATGTCTCTGACTATCCGATCTGCCTCGTGCGTCGTCTATCACGCAACCAAACACAGGGTTATTTGCAGCTCTCGCCTTGATTTTGACAAATTCTGCAATGTGACTAATGTTCGTTCTTTGACCTGCTTCCTGGGTTTGGTCTGCTACTTCAACAAATTTAGTCCTGAGATGAAACGGCAGCCTCTGAACAATTCTTCTTAGGTTGTCGGCGCTATTGATTTCATCCAGGTAGCCAATAGATTCAAGTGTATTTTCGCAATCCTTTAACTGGTCAGCAAATGCTAATAATCCTGTACGATCTGAAGGCTTCAGAGGAGGACCTTCTGTTAGCTTGGTCACGTACTGCGAGGCAATTCTGAAGGGATGTCCGAACCGTTCTTCTAGTAGCTTTCTTGCAGCTTGATATCCTAGGGAAGGATCCTTGTACAAACAACATTTGATCGTGTCCTTTGCTACACCCGATGTGTACTGAAGAAGGTACATCAGCTTCTCGCTTTCGCTAGCTGCATTAGAGACGATGCTTGTTTCAAAAGATTTAATAAAATTCCAGTACTCGAGGGGATCACCATCAAAGATTGCCAACTCCTTCTTTGGCAACGCAAACCCCTGCTTTATGGTTAACGCCATCTTGCCTATAAATTCTTCAGGCAAAATATATTCCTTTTCTGAAACAGAGGAGGCTGTGCTGGATCTGGCTAGTAGACCTTTGAATTCTAGCGCATTGGGATTCAACTGTGACTGTGAACGTTTGGATTCAATTGATTTCTGTCCGCCTCTGGGCTCAGGGTCTTCCTGCTTATAGCCGCTTGTAGCTCGTCCTTCAACTCCTTTATCAAACGGATTCAGCTCTTTAAACACCTCCGGAAGATTAGGGTAATCGATATCTTCATCTTGCAACAACTTAACTTGCAGGTCTGTTTTTTGGACTTCATACTGTGCCTCCAAAACTTTTAACTTAAATTTAGTCTCTTCCTCCTGACGTAATAATTCTTGCTTTTGCGTTAACTGTTTCAGCTTTAAATGAGCTAACGCTTGCTTGGCCTTCAGCTGTCTAATAGATAAATGCGCTGTGCTGACGACATCTTCAGGCTGTGTGTCTATATCTTCGTGAGTTACAACTGGCACCTTTACGCTATGAATCCATTGTTCAATTCTTGATTCAAAATTCATCTTTCGGTTGCAATGTTCTTTAAAATAACGTGCTTCGCTTTCCCATTCTTCTAAGTTTCCTGATAAAGTAGCAATGTAATCGTAATGCGCCTTCTCGAAGCGAGAAAAGGCTTCGTCAATGTCCAATAATTTCTCCGAAACTTCATTGACATTCTTTGAGTCATTTAAGAGTTCTTCAGTTTCTCGGTACAACTTGGTTATTCTCGACAAGTACCCAGCTCTTGAATTTTTCAGTCGCAGACTGTCTAAAGCATCTTCAGAATGAAAACGGCGTCTTCTTTGCCACTCCCGATCAACTCCGGAACACATGACATCCACTGACAGATCTTTGAATGCATGTAAAGAACACTCTCGTACAGTTTGAATTCGACTTTTACTTCTCGATTCACTAGAACAATTACAGCAAAGAAAAAAGAAAATACAGAATTAATAAACGCGGACCGAAAGCCTTACAAAAACGATAACTTAAAGTACAACAAATGACTAAGAAAGCGAGCAAAAATTACAGAAAAAACTATACTTACAAGATCTGTACGGCAACTCCGGATACAACTAAGCGACTGATTTACATGAACCAAAAACAAGACTTTATACTAAACTGGACTGAAAATAATGAACCTCACGAACTTACAAAAATTGACAATAACGATTACGTAACGCAACGCCTGAGACTAGAATACAGAAAGAATACGCATATGAAAAAAGGCTAACAAAAGACTACTCCAAGCGCGATAACAAAGGCACTAATTAAACTAACTTAACGCAAAGCAAAACATGAAAAAATAAAGAACAGGAAAAAACTCGCAGTCTCTCGTGGCTACAGTGTGTCAAAAAGGGACTATTGTAAAAGGCCCGATCTAGTAATTAACGGCTTACAACCAATAGAACGGCTTACGATGAATATTTTACCTAGTTTTACAACGAACAATAAAGTACCAACTGCAACAATAAAAGTTACGCAATAGCGTACACGGCAAAAAAAAAATACTTAAACAAAAAAAAATTAGCATAAAAGAAGTAACTATTATTAATTAGGCATTCTATGACAGTTAGTAAACCATATTTTTAATATAATTTCTTTTCCTGATCAGCACAAGCCTCCTTTGTCAAAAAAAAAACTGTTGTCAAACTACGCGGAATTGAAATCTATTCAGTTATTATCCATCTGGAAATTAACCAGTATTTGAGAGATGTATAGATGAAGGATATCACATTTTGGAGAGGCAAGAAAATTCTGGGGGGGGTGGAGAGAGAGGAAAGGAACTGTTAAGTTAGCCTGAGCAAGTGAACAACTTTTCAGTGCGAGACACAGTTCGAGGTAAAAGGAAATTTTTATAACAGAAGAAATAAATTTGTAGTATTTATATTTGAAGTTCTTACTGGTCATTCTAAAATTGCGGATAACTTTGTGTTACCGCCAGTTTAGTCAGTTAAAACGAGCATTGAACAATTCCACCCAATGGCCTCTCAAAGGAGAGCTTTAATAAAGAAATAGCTAAATCAGTCGAACTAAAGACGAGAACAATGAGAAAGAAGGAGAAATACTAGGATTCAAACACTTGAGAAGCGTTTTGAATCGTTAATTTGGTGTAGTAAGGTTATATTTTTTACTTGGTCACTGAGCAGGGATACTTTAAAGATATGTCTCGGTTCTCTTTCCGTGGGAACCAAACAGCATTGAAACAGCTGTTAAAGTACCAATATCGTTCTGTTTCTCTCCAACCTCATTGTAAAACGGTTCTTCAAGATCTGTTTTCGCTGTATGCTTTAAGTCGAAAGCTGTTAAGCAGCTGTCTTTTCCAGCGTGGGTAACTGAAGAGCCAATTTGCAAACTGCCAAATTAGTGTAGGAGGTTGTTAAACAAAAGTCATAGAGCCAGCATAATGCATAAGATATTGACATGCAAGCCGACTTTTATTGTCATTTGAATATTGCGATAGGTGCAAATTCTGAATAATGAGTTCAACTTTTTTCCTTGTGTATAAATTTCGGTGAAAAATACAGCTTCAGCTACCAATAGAAGTAGAAGGCAAATAGTGCATATCATTTAGTATTATATCTAGTATTTTATCTGTAATTCATGTCACTTACTGCTTTACTTGCACGAGTTAGATACTACTCCCCTCTCCTCCTTACCTCACCCCCACCCCCACCCCCCAAAGTTGACAGATTGTAATTCCCAGTACAACCTCAAACAAAACTGTTGAGACAGTTCCTTCTATTTTCTAAATCTTGCGCCATACAAACATCTCCTCTAAACAGAAAAAGAAAGCCCCCTCCACATCCCCTATTCAACGTTGTTTTGGTCTAAAACCCAACGTGTATAATTCTCGTGTTATCTTAAGCAATACTGGATATGAGGAACGGGGTTGTTTCTCAACAGGTTTTGTCCGAGGTTGTAGCATTGGTTGGACTATAATAAATTCCAATGTTAGTTGTATTTTGAAAGGCATTCAAGGCAACACGTTTCAACCTGAATATATTTCCACAAACACCTTGTTTAATTTACACCTGAATTGAAAATAATAACTTGGAAGAAGACCCCCTCCAGACAAAGATTGACAGTCAAGACATTACTATGAGCTTTTCCAAATAATTTCTAAAAATACATGGCATTAATCATTAACCATAACCTTTATCGAAGGTTTACTCAGCGGTTCTATTATGAAGAAAGGAAGTCAGTTAAAGTATTGAGGAAGTTTTACTGGCACCAAAGCACGTCGCAGGCAAATAGAAAAACCGGCTAAAGACATGGAGAAAGACTACGTGCGAAAAGATCCCAGACTTCGTTTCCTTAAATTTCTTTTACTTTGTTCTTTGATGAGTCTTTGGATCCAAGGTAGGTTATCTTTGAAATTAATTCAGTAAAAATTATATATTCTGTACGCTTTGTCTATAAGTAAACCCAACAAATTATTTTCACTCTTGAAAAAAAAAAATTAAAAGAAACAGGGCTCCCAAATTCCCCCAAGAATCAAGAGAACAAAGCTAGTCATTCATCGAATGATCTGAAAGGAAAATGTTTTTGAAAGAAAAAGAACTCCAAGTTCTGCGTATGCAATGTTACCACTTTGAGGTCATAAGAGAGGACAAGAAGTTATTTTCTTTCAGCTCTACAGTCAACTCCTTTTACAGCAGGCACTGTTGGGACCTTGAGTTACTGTCCTCATTAGCAAGAGTCCGTTATAGCGGGAATTTGTTTCAGTCAAACATCTGTAAAATTATGAGAATAGCGCGAAAGCGGGGGCCCCAATCTGCCTCCCCTTTTCCCTTTCCTCCCTACCTTCATCCCCCCATCCCCTACCCCTATCTCCTACATTTTATGGTTCTGAAAAAGACAAAAAACCTTCTGGGTTTGTAATTTATTCACATTTTAAAGACAGCGCATTTATAGCACTTTAAAGGGAAGCAGCGTTCTAAGCTAGATAAGTTAAGGAGGGGGGAGTACCATTTGCTATGCAATAGAGGGTATATGACAGAGGTACCTTTTGTTTCAAAAGCCGAGTCTTGTTTTCGATCGACTAAATTTTAATTATGTCGTCACTGACGTGGATAACAGGGAAATAAAAGGTTAAGGGGTTGGACCTCAAAGCGGAACGTCCCAGTATAAAACTTTGTTGAGACCCCCTTTCCCCCACCCCCCACCCCCCCAAAAAAAATTTACAACTAACTCTCTTTTAAATAATAGACAGTTCCAGACGCCTTTAAACTGGAAAATCAGCACTAGAAAATAAAATCATATGCTTGTGGAAACGATGTAATATAAGTGTCCAAAGAGCCCTTCTGTTCAGTTGTAAACTTAGCAATAATTCACCAGTTAATTTCCTGCTTCATTTGAAAAAACCCTGACCAGGTCGCCGAGGATTGGCTAAAACAGTAGATACGGTTTTCATCACAGGCAACAGAAGTTGATTTTGTTTCTCGGCACGCTAAAACTAGCTGACGAGTATGGAGTATGGAAACTAATAACTCACTAACGACCTCGACGTGGATTTGCCCTTAGGCCGTTAGCGTCAGTTTAATTGCTTCGGAACCGTTAAAGCTGGTAACCAAAACAACAGAAATTGCACGAAAAAAAATTTACAACTGAAACAAGCAAAAAAAATACTAGTGAGGATCGTCCCTTATCCAACATGACCCTTCTTTAGGTTTGGAGAAAGCGAGTGCTAATTTTGGCGGGAATACTGATGGCGGCTGCAAGAGTACTGGCCTTCAAACGTACTACAGTATTTGAGAGCAGTTATACTTATAGCATTTGTTCAACTAAACGATTTAATTTTAGTTTTCATTTAGGAAACGCAAAAATTCAAAAACACCGTTTAAAAGGAGAGCGAAGAGACTATGAAAGCTTTTAGGGGTAGGTTCGGAATAAATAGTTCGGGAAGTTTACCACCGACACCGGCGTTGTGGCAAGGTGGCTTGAAAAATGACTTCAATAATTAAAAGCATGCTAATTTATTCCGATAATTTAGCTATTTCCCACCTTCAGCGTACAGCCGAAGTTCTCCTTGCGACACTCTCATAAGCGACCACCTCTAATTACAGGCGGCATTCAGTGAAAAAAATTTACAACTGAAACAAGCAAAAAAAATACTAGTGAGGATCGTCCCTTATCCAACATGACCCTTCTTTAGGTTTGGAGAAAGCGAGTGCTAATTTTGGCGGGAATACTGATGGCGGCTGCAAGAGTACTGGCCTTCAAACGTACTACAGTATTTGAGAGCAGTTATACTTATAGTATTTGTTCAACTAAACGATTTAATTTTAGTTTTCATTTAGGAAACGCAAAAATTCAAAAACACCGTTTAAAAGGAGAGCGAAGAGACTATGAAAGCTTTTAGGGGTAGGTTCGGAATAAATAGTTCGGGAAGTTTACCACCGACACCGGCGTTGTGGCAAGGTGGCTTGAAAAATGACTTCAATAATTAAAAGCATGCTAATTTATTCCGATAATTTAGCTATTTCCCACCTTCAGCGTACAGCCGAAGTTCTCCTTGCGACACTCTCATAAGCTACCACCTCTAATTACAGGCGGCATTCAGTGAAACACCGTTTGAACTGACTTTTAAACGCGCTGTAGTGTAAAGCTCTCTTAAGCAACAGTTCCTGTAAGCGGACCTGTCTTGTAATCACCAGCAGGACCGTTTCATTTGTTTTTAAGTTCTTATAACCGACCACTGCGTCGACACTTAAACAAAAGCATTTTACTTCATGATTCAAATTTGTGGTAATGCAGAGCAAAAGCGCGAATGGTTCGTTGATTTGGAATGATCAAAGTTATTAAAAAAGAAACTCCTTAATATTCTTTTACCTAAATGTATTCGTAATAAAGAACACATGCCTAGGTGCTCAACAGCCCGTAAGTTTGTGTTGCTGCTAGGTAAAAATCCTGGTCGAGGGTGAAAAGAGAGTGAGAGACTGGGAAGAGCTCCGGGCTTGTAAAGAGACTGTTTCTTAATCTAACATATTCCCAGGTTTTTTGCTAAGCTATCGTTAGTGACCGCCCTCATATCCGCGTCTAAATATGGTCGCTTACTAGCGGTCCATTGAGAAACGGCGAGCACTAGTTGCGTAAAATTTACATAAGAAACCTGAAACTAAGGTTAAGGTTACGAGAGCTAATTTTAGCAACTGCCATTCAGCTAGCCATAGGCAACCAGAGCGCCTAAAATATGAATACCTACAGCAAAATTTATTGTCCTTGGAAATAGCGAAGAGTGAAATTTCCCAACTAAGTTTTCGGCTTTAGTCCGTGGATGATAAAATGAGGATCAACTACAGTTTAAACTTCAATGGCGGAAGGCACAAAGGGCAATTAATATGTATTTTATCTGTAACTGAATCCAAGTCGAAGGAGGGCCTTCTCCAATAAAACTGACGTAAAAACCGAGATGTTTTAATTGTTCAGTTACAACTAGGCTCCCATATCCATGCAACTGACAGCTTGATATATGTTAGTTACACGAGTTATATGAGGACACGCAGTGAATTGCATTAATTGATCGAGACGGTTGATTACTTGCTTCAAGTCGCTCAAACAGAAAACAGTTATACAGCAAACATGAAGAATGACTGCGTAGGAAAAGATCTCAAAATTTGTTTCCTTAAATTGTTTCTGTTTTTTTCTTTGACGACTCTTTGGATTCAAGGTACGTCATCTTTGTAAGACATAGTAGCATTTTCTCGCTATATGTGCATCAGTACATGCAGTAAACCGGAAAAAAATATTCCCTATTGAGCGTCGCTCTCGGTCCTAGTAACAAGAGGCAGGACATCTCTGCCTTATGTCACTAATGTTTTAAAAAGCTTAAAGAAAACCTAACGTAAGCTCCCCAGAAAGCACCAAGAAGAAAACAAGGCGGGTTATTTTTCAGCTGTGATAAACGGGTCTGTGTTTGCAAAGTGGACATCGACTGTAGACGCCACAAAAGTAAACAGAAAAATGAGTCATTTTCTAATTATTTTTTCTTGCATTTGCATATAAAAGCTAACTGAAAATCGTACAACGTGCCCAATAACAAGAATCGATCGTTAACAAAAGGGACCGAAACATATTCTTACAAATCGTTAATGTCGCCGGTTAATAGAGAACAAAGATTCACGGGCGATTGACCTCCTAAATGGCAAGAAAATTCGATTGGCAATAAATTTCTCGCTAACAAAATCACTATATACTATATAGCTGATTATATTCCGCAAGGTCATTCATTGTTTTTTGTTTTGGTTATTTGTTTGTTTGCTTTCTTTTGTAGCGTTTTATTTTTGTGGTTGTATTTTGCTTCTTTGTTGATTTGTTAGTTTGTTTTCTTTGGTGTGGAACCGGTTGGACTAATCAACTTCCCAACGCGCTAAAATGTAGGCACGAATGTAGAATGTAATATTACAGCCTCGACGTGGCATTGCTCGTTGCATGTTAGGCTCATTTCACCTGCAATTCGTGAAAAATGATCAGAACAACAAAACAAATATAAACAATACAGTTTGTATAGCAAGTCAAAAGAATATCTACCGCCTACATCCACCTCATTCAACATCAGTTAACAAGGAAGTCATTGATGATTTCGGTGGGAACTGCAAAGGAGACTGTGGTAGTGAGGAAAAGGGAAAGGTTCTGTCGTCACTATACCGGATAGATATAAAAAGGGAGTATCCGGCAGAGTATAAGTGGCAGATGCACGAAGCTGGAACAAGTCGCTCACAGACATGTCGAAAATCGTGCTGGAGCGGTTGGCCGAGAGAGCTTGGTACACTAAATCCCAATCCTCACTCTGAATATTCACCTCGCCTCTAAACACGATAAATTTTAAACCTATAAAAGCTTGTGAGGTCGTGTGTTTAAGAATTAAACTAACCTAATCTACATCAAAACATATATACAAATTATAGCGGAGCACCATGGGTAAGAAAATGAAGTAATCTTTCCATCCGAGAAAATTTGGTAATCACGTGACCGTACACCGACTGACCGCCCGCCCGCCCGAGAGACCGTTCGTCCGCACCACAGATAACCAATGTTTACTCTCACACTTTCTAGCTACTTTGGGAGCCCACTGATTGCGCATCAATGTTGTGATCAACTGACAGCTGTCAAAACAAGGTAGTATCAGACCAGTGTGACCGTATCGCGGGCTCAGGTGTCGACCCATCCATGTCGAATATTTTTTTTGAAGCTATTCGGTGACAAGTTACTAGTTTTCAAATGATTGCAGGCTCATTTTTTAATTCATATGAAATATGTTGTGTTTATTACACTATGGCCAGCACTATTAACATTTTGATTTCAAACTGAGCTCGGACGCGAAAATTCAGCCAGTTATTTAAAAATGCAAGCAGGGAAGACAGATGCTTTTCACTTTTCTCACCATAGTCACGCGTTGGTCACGCTTCACGTCCAATTTTTATGCTATGATTGGTCAAAATTTGACAGGAGAGTTCATGGGGAGAATTTATGCAGCGTCTTGCGACTTGTTTACTTTGACAGAGTTTTGCGTCGACTTGTGATGTTTTTAACTGTCTTTTTCCACTGAATGTACAAAATAAAATACAGCTGCTATCAAGAGTCTTCTGTTATTCATGGCTGGTTTGTTTATTGTATTTTTGGTTGAGAAATGCGCAACTTGTCAAAGTCGGATGGCATCGTTTTTGTTTTTCACCTTGCTGGATGCGTAAGAGAATTATAAAGGCTCAAGCGATCCTGGCCTCGAAATATGGTAAGCCTGAGTAATTATTGTATTTATATCTAATTTCATGAAGTCGAGCGCAGTTTATGAAGCTAGTTTATGCACGTTTGTATTAAGATTTGAGACACTAATCTGCCATAGTATGAGGTTTGATAAACACTTACAGAACTTTAAAAAGCCTTAAGTCGATATTTCACCGCGAATAGAAAGAAAAGAAAAAACTTTCCGAAGAATATTAGTTATAATTTTGGCCGCAAGTGTTTTGGCAGTGTGTAAGTATATCAAGATGGCTGGATGCGTTACCACGTTGTCCGTTAATTTTGGCCTCCTGCTCTGCCTGTTTCTTATCTTGAATGGCATAAAACAAAACAAATCATCAACGAAGCCACTAAGCAATAGTAGCAACCTATATTTTGCTTCCCAAGAAGCTTGCAGGATTAAAATTCAATCTTTTCACTCTCTGGCACGGCGTCCAGCAAAACACCAAGCAGTCGGAGCTTTCCAGAAAGGCTTTATTACGTGCAAGCTTATACTTCATGGCTCTCTAGCCTTGGCTCTAATAGCGCTTGCCGGAGATGTTGAACTCAACCCTGGATATAGGAGTTTGGAGGATGTTAGGAGTTCACGAGGATTGAGGCTTGCTCATCTAAATATTCGAAGCTTGAGGAACAAATCAGACTCGCTGCGCCTGGAGGGTTTGGATAACAGAACGATCGATATTCTTACACTCAGTGAGACTTGGCTGGATGACTGCTATGAAGACTCTCATGTTATTATTCCAGGATATAATTGCATTCGCCTGGATAGGTCTGGAGCCAAAGAAGGTTTTGGTGGAGTAGCAATCTATGTAAAGGAAGGCTTGCCGTTTCGTGTTAGGAATGATCTTTACTCAGCCGCAAATGAATGTCTATGGATTGAGCTATCGCGCACTAAATGTCGCCCAGTATTGATTTGTTGTGCATATAGAGCCCCCGGTTTTGACTTTGCGAACTTTATTTCAAACTTGGAGATATCTATGACGAAAGTTAACCTGGAAAAATGTGATTTCGTGCTTCTTGGCGACCTAAATGCAAATATGCTGCCATTTTCAAGAAAGAAAGAAAAACAAGAGCTTAAAAAATTTGCAACTTCACACGATCTTACGCAACTCATTACTGAGGCCACCCGAGTGACGGAAACCTGTCAATCCTTGCTTGACGTGATTTTAGTGAACAATGATCACCGCATCAATGACTCCGGTGTTGTTCCTGTTTCGCTGAGTGATCACTACCTCGTCTATTGTGTTTTAAAAGCAGGTGTAATTAAGGCACCACCGAAGACAATTGAATACCGCTCTTATAAAAACTTTGATGCGAACACCTTCCTAGCGGACTTGAATAACGTCCCATGGCACATCATTGAAAACGAGGAAGACATCGACGACGCCGTGTTTATTTGGAATCACTTGTTTTCTGAAATAGCTGACCTGCATGCGCCCGTGAAAAGGCGAAGAATACGAGGTGTTCCGCTCCCGTGGTTGAATGATACAATCAGTGAGGTGATGAAGGATCGTGATTTTCACCATCGTAAAGCCGTGAAAACCAATTCTGCTTTTCACTGGGCTCGCTATAGAAAGTTAAGAAATAGGGTCAATCGTGAAGTCAAGGCAGCAAAATCCAAGTATTATTGTGACTTGATTTTAGAGGCTAAAGGGGATTCAGGAAAGATCTGGAAGGCGGTGAATGAGGTGTCTTCGCGCAAGACTAAATCCTCGAGCCCACAATGTATCGTAGTTGATGGTGTTGAACACACCACCCCAGCCTCTATTGCATCCGTGCTCAACTGTTATTTCTCATCCATTGGCAGAAGTCTTGCAAATAAAATATCAGCTGCTGCTATGTTCCCAGTCAGATCGGCCACGATGCTACAGTCTTTCTCGCTTGACGAAGTTGATGAGAAAACAGTACTCAAGCATCTGCTTTCTCTAAAGACAAATAAAGCTATTGGCTTGGACAACATCAGTGCGAGACTTTTAAAGTGTGGCGCGCGTGCTATTTGTCCCTCGATCACCAAGTTACTGAATCTCTCTATTCGCACTGGCAATTTTCCTGAAATATGGAAATGCTCGAAAGTGGCTGCACTTTTCAAAACTGGAGATAGGAGAGATGCGTCAAATTATCGCCCAATTTCTATTCTGCCAACAATGAGTAAAATTCTGGAAAAAGTCGTCCATTCCCAATTCTATGACTTTCTGAATTCAAATAATCTCCTTTCAAGCAAACAATTTGGCTTCCGTCCCAAACTGTCTACAACATCGGCTCTCACCAGTTTTGCAGATGAGGTCCTATTGCATATGGAGAGTGGAGAACTGTGCGGTGCAGTGTTCCTAGATCTGACCAAGGCATTCGATACCGTTGACCATACGATCTTGCTATCTAAATTGTCGGCTATCGATGTCTCGCCCAGCACTCTACAGTGGTTCAAGTCTTACCTGAATCATCGTAAACAGCGGACTGCCTGTAGCGATGCTGTGTCTGACCCTCTCCCGATGACCTTTTGGGGTGCCACAGGGGAGCATTCTAGGACCGCTTCTCTTCTTGGTTTATATTAATGACCTTCCGCTGGATATAAAGAATTGCGAAGTGACTTTGTATGCTGATGACACGGTCCTGTACTACTTTGCTAAAGAGCCACACCTGTTAGAAGAGGCACTGAATGATGATCTCTTGAAAGTTGCCCAGTGGTTACATGGAAATAAGTTAACTTTAAATCTTACTAAGACGAAATCCATGATTATAGGCAGTAATAGGAAACTTGTTGGTATTTCCTCTTTCACGTTATCTATTTTGACACTGATATAAATTCTGTAAGTAGTTTTAAATATTTGGGAGTTATGTTGTCTTCAACTTTCACATGGTCCGACCATATTGAGTATATTTCATGTAAGGTTAATAAAAACCTTGGTCTTCTACGTAGGATTAAGTATTATTTACCTTATGATGCCCGGTTACTTTTTATAATAGCTTAGTGCTACCTATTTTTGATTATGCTGATTTAGTCTGGGGTGACAAGGACAATGTCTCACTTATGAAGGAATTGCAAATTCTCCAAAACAAAGCAGCTAAGTTGATATTAGATAGATCACCTCACTCCTCATCCACCGATGCATTGATTGTCTTGAGATGGCTGAATCTTGAAGAACGTAGGAAATGTCATCGATGTATATATGCATACAAGTGTATTAATGGCCAACTTAATCATTCTTTGGACATTGTAAGAAAGAGTGATATACATTCCTACAATACGCGCAATAACGATACTATCAAGCTCCCCAAAATTAAATATAATTGGGGAAAACAACGTTCGCGGTACCACTGTTTCAAAGACTTTAATGAATTAGAGAGAACTGTAAGAAACTCAGCAAGTTTTCCAATTTTTTAAGAAGTGTCTTTTTTTCTGCTTTTTATAATTGAGTACTTGTAGTGTGTATGTTTTAATTATTTCTGTAACTCGATTTTAGCTTGAATTTTTTTTTTTTTTTTTTTTTTTTTTTTTTTGTATCATATATATCGATTTTAGCTTAACCTTTTTATATTTTAATTGTATTATATAATATACATCTCGTAATTAGGACCTCTATGTAAACCACTCTTGTGATGGAGCATCCTATTAAAAGATTGTTATTATTATTAAGTTCATCTTTGAAAACAGCAAACACCGGGAAGCCGGCGGCTTATAACCTCCGGGGGTACTCCCATACATTACCTATACGGGTATGTGCCGCCCAACGGGGTCGTGATTTTGAAGTTCCTGATTTAGAACGGGGTATCCATTTCAGAGGCGTTTTCTAGAACGGGGTATAAAAATTGTGGATCACGGCTTTATCTTCTGCTTAAAATTGTTGTTGATTATGAAGAAGCATTTATTTGATGTATAAGTCGAACAAATAAAGAAATATCTTTTTTAAAAAACAGGGCTATTTCAATTTACAAACTTTCTAGAACGGATTACAAAAAATTGGCCCATTTCTAACACAGAGTATCAGTTTTAGGGCGAATTCTAGAACGGGGTATAAAAAATTGGCCCATTTCTAGAACGGGGTATCAATTTTAGGGGAAATTTTTTTTAGAACGGGGTGCCAATTTGGTGTCCTGGGCGGCACATACCCACCCCAAATATACCCAAATGTCCCCCCGGGCTTAAAACATAAACTTAATCTTTAAGCTTAAAGTAGGGGGGAGCTACTTCCCATACATTCTCTTAAATGAAATCCAAACGATGTTCTCACAACTTGCAAAGCGATCAGCAAGGTTCTTGCCAGCGGATTTGTGTACTGATCATGCGCACTACGTCAAAAACCATAAATCAACGGTCTTGAGAAACAAAAGCATGGCGGTCGAAGGCGGGGCTGTTTCTCTCTATTATATTTTGGTAATTCGCAGTTTTATTAATTTTATGTCGCTTTTCAGACATAGTGTGTGGTTTTCTTTTTCTGTTAAACAATGTCCCTCCGCAGAGTTTGGAATATGCAACATATAGCTCCGTATAGCTGATAAGAATCACCGAAGAGTTGAGCTATCGAGCAGTGTTTTGCTGCAAACTTTAGGAAAGTTGAAGTCGCTTCAAGGTACAGCGCTTTCAGTAGTAGTTGTGATTTGTTTATTAGGATCGTTTTGAATTTTAACGTTGGATTCAAAGTGTTGACTGACCGTAATAAACGAAGTGAAATGTTATGAAGTGTGGATGTTTATTCAGTTATGATATGTAGAGCTGTAAGCTCATATTTATAAAGCTCTCTGAATACACTTGCTTCCGATAAATTTGATACTTGATGCAAAAACGATGTAACCTATAGCCTGCATGACAGGCGCTTTATGAGCCAAGCGGGGCGAACGCGATATTTCGCGCGGAGCGCGACACGAGCCCGAAGCGCGAGACGAGGGAAAGAGAAAAATAATAAAATAATAATAATAATAATAATAATAAAATAATAATAATAATAATATTTTTCTCTTTCCCTCGTCTCGCGCTTCGCGCTCGTGTCGCGCTCCGCGCGAAATATCGCGTTCGCCCCGCTTGGCTCATAAAGCGCCTGTCATGCAGGCTATGTAACCTATAAATCGATCGAGCGCGTTGTTGTTGGTTAAGATCAAACACGGCTGCGTTTTAGTTTCCCCCGCAATTTCAGTACCGAAAGACAAATACGATATGCAAGAAAAACAAAGATGCAAGACATTATTTTTTCAATTTTTTAAGCATTTCTGATTTCCTCTGCCGGTTCGCTTGTTGCTTCTAAAAAGTCTAAAAATATTTACTGTCATTTACTGTAGGAAAAAGTGCTATTATCCGCTGACCAACACGCAGGGTGACCGCTTTGCAAGTTGTAAGAACATCGTTTCTCGGTCCCAGACCTCGGCTCTTCCCCGGCTTAAAGACCCAGGATTCTTAGAGACACTTAATTACTCATTTGTTTTCGTAAATGAAAATTGTTGTCTCTCAGTAAATGTTCTACCTAATTATATTTCTTTATTGATTGTTAGTAGTCTCAAAAGTGCAATTTTCATCGCTTTGCCGTTTGTTTTCAGTCGTTCATGAACATCGCTTGCCGGAGTACTCAAAATGCCGCGCGTATCAAACGCTTTTTAAGATTACACATCGTTATAAAACCATTAATAAAAAATAAACACAATAAATCCTTTATCATGTTGAAGCGTAACTCTTTTAAAATTTCTTTGCAAATTTGGCGCTTGTCAAAAGTTAGAACCGGCTGGCCGTATAGGTGATTTTGGAAATTTTTTGAACGGTTTCGCTAAAAGTCCACGCGTGCTTTGATGGTCCTGAATATTGAATGAATGCAATTTGTCTTGAAAAATTGTGAACTACTGTATTTTGTACGAGGTCTGTATGATAAAAACAGCGCCTCATAGTACTCTTTCTCCTCAGATGTGATGTATATTTAAAGTATAAAAGGTTGGTTTGCACACACCCAGATTTGTTTTCCAAGAATTTGTTTTCCACGCTTAATCTACTGTGATCAAGAGTCATTATTGCTCTTAAATGAGACCGAAGACTATTTTTTTGGGTGTACATATAAGGCTATCAACTCGATGCAAGATTTGTTTCACTCTAAAATCATTTAGCCTTTCCCTCAAAAGTCACATGAATGTGCCCTTAAGTTAACTGATTTGTGGAATACAAGTTTATTGTTTAATTTAAATTATAAATTTATTAATGGGAGCTTCGCTGTTAGCCCTGGCTAAATCTATATATTATATATTATAGGGACACAGAGATCAGTAACATATAAAATTCTGTTGTCTGCATCTTAGTAGTTGCACACGTACATTCAAACTTGTAATCTATAAAATAATCTTCAGCGCTGACACGCTTCCTGAACTGATTAAAATTCAGGGTCGCAGATGCTTCCTTGTCATTGTAGTTAACAAAGTTTCATAACGAAGCACTTCTATATGAGAGAGAATCTCGGGGAGAATCTTTCATGTATCTTGACTCGTACCTTGGTACGAGAAGAAGGTTCGGCCAATGTTCCCATACATTATATCAGGTAAGGATTCGCTATGCGCCCTATAAAAAAGTCTAAGAACATCTAACTTGTAATAGAAAGAAAAGGTGGGCCACTGTACTGAGCACGTCCTCCGAATCCATATCCTTAGGTAAATTGTAAATTAAACGTGCCGCTCTTCAGTGAAGCCTGTTCACACTGGGACGAAGACTCTCAGAAACTTATCCAAAATGTGACAATCCATTTTCAATATTGGCGCCAAGCAGCTTCACTCCGACACAGAAATCGCTACCGCACTCACTTTGCATCACACGCTCCACCTAAGAATAGACATGGAGGCCTGTTCGCACCCCATAGGAAGTTAGCTCAGGGTCTGAGTTTGACGCTGAGACCAACCAAGACGGCAAGTCTCCTATCAACCTCGTCCCCAAGGGCTTTTCCCTTAAAAAATGGGTGCCCATTTTTTAAGGGAAAAGCCCTGGGGACGAGGTTGGTCTCCTATGAAAATTCTCACCGCTGGGTATATTCTGGGCCTTTTTTAGGAACGTTTTCAAAAATTCGGCTACATGTACATTATAGGCGATCAAAGGGCTGCGATGGTTCACGATTTTTCCGTGGAGCGTTCATACGCGGAAATAATTTTGTTTTCAATCCAGAAGCTAATTCCTTGTTGTTTCATAAATTCTTTGCCTTGACTAAAACAACATCAGTGTATGATGCCTCAGAAATTATGGAAATCAAATAATTAGTTAATGTTCATTACTGATCATGACCAAAATAGTTTCGATCAACAACAACAATAAGTTTTATTTGCATTACTATAACAAAGTATTACAGCATTGCAAAAAATACTTGAATTTAATTATTGATTCCTTTTAAAATTAAATATTTAAAATAACTTTAAATATAATAATCATTGCTTATTTTCAACCATCAGTAGGATTAATTATTCCGATCATTTGCTGATAAGACTGAGTGTCAAATCAGCCATTGCAAAACTATCTTTTGAGAAGCCCATTACTTTACCAAAGAACAATAACCAACCAAAAAACATATTACATGGGCTGGGATAGTGACTTTCACTCGGATAGTAGCAGGGGCACCCAACGACTGTTTTCTGTATGATATCTGTACGGAGAAGCAAACATTGCCTGAAATTTTCTATTATTTGAGCACAGCTACAAATTTCTAGGTGACTGTTCCATTCATGTACAATTTTCGAAGCTTACGTAATAAATTCCCTACGATTTTTTGAAGTTTAATTTTTCACATTTGACTCTCCAGGTTTCTCTATTTTCTCGTAGTAGAAAGAAAACATACAATTTTCGAATTCAAAAATGCAATGGAGAGAGGAATTAGAAAAATTCTCACTTTCGCAAAGCGTTAAATTGCACCTAAAATTTTCGGGAAAGTAATACTGAAGCCCTAATAATTTCGAAAAGACTCAAGTGGCCCTGGACCACCGAACAGATAGAAAGTTTATAGCACCACTGAAAATGCATTTCTAGAGATGTAAAAGTACTCTGGATAGCCTAAAAAATGATTTCAATGTATTTAGGAGGAAACCGTCGATGGGTGCCCCTGTAGTAGGTTTGTTGAGAGTTTCTGTGGAGGTTTGTGTTAGTTAATGAATTCTTGGATCTATAAAAGTTTCTGGGAAACTGCCCACCTACCCCTCCCCTAAGCTAACATTAACACTTACTTCTCGCTTAGGGCAAAATGATGGCTTGGGGGAGGAGTAGGTGGGCAGTTTCCCAGAAACCTAAATTGCAAATGTTTGATGAAATAAAGAATTTCTCTTTTTATTCTTTCCTTATTTACGTGATAGATGTGTCACCCACAGGGAACCTAGACTGTGAAATAACTGCACAGAAATGCCAACCGCCTTTTCAGACGATAACAGTAACGCCCAAAGACTCTAAAGTGACTTTGAACTGCTCGATTAAGAATGGGGGAAAAGTACAAGAAATGACTTGGCAGAACCTTGAAAAACACCTTAATGCCAGTAAGGCCGGTCTGTTCTTACAACAAATCGATTCAAAGAATAGAAGTCAGCCACGTGAATGTTTTTCTTTAAAATACGCCAGTGAGTATGTTCTTCTTTCGCTCTTTCTGTATTAAATTGATGGGGAGAAAAATATCGTAATGCGCCCATCAGTTTTTTTTGTTTGGGTCTTATTTTTTAAATGGATTATAACGCATCCTATGAATGCCTCGTAACAGGTTTAGGCAGATTCAAGCTCAGCTGAGGCAATTTTTACGGTTGATTGAGCGTAAAAACAGTTGAAGATGGTTCCCCGCTGAACTCTAGTTGCTCATGCCATGCTGGAGGGCAAGCAAAGCAAAGGGACATGACAAACAACAAACAAAGGAATCATTTCAAATTATGTTAGCTTTTTGTTTGGCTTGACTCAGTGCGTAAGGCCTCGCTCTCCAGCATGGCAGGTTTGTACCACAAAAGTGACTTACTGCAAAGGGCCTATTTAAAATGAACAAGGCATGGAGTAAAACATGGTTGGTTGGAAGGTGTCGGTAACAGAGATGACTGTAGTTATCTTAAAAATCGTGAGCTAAGGAACGACGACGACGGCAGTGAAAATGTCGCTAAAAAATTAAATTTGCCTCATTTCAAAATGTTATCGGGTCTATTTGGACCTGCTAAATTTGCAGAATTTGTTAAATGTAGACGATTTCCCTTGGAGGTGAATTCTTAAGGACTTTATCCAGGTTCAGAAAGAAAAAGGAGAATTTGCTCACTTTCTCTGTAAAACGTCGTATTCCTTGATTAGGAGGTTTCACTTCATAGTCTTGCAGTCAACGCCCGGAGGGATACTCCCATACATTACCTATACGGGTATGTGCCGCCCAACGGGGTCGTGATTTTGAAGCTCCTGGTTGAGAACGGGGTATCCATTTCAGAGACGTTTTCTAGAAAGGGGTACAATATTTCAAACGCACGAAAGCTCCAGTTTTGTAAGCAGCCATTTAAAATTATTCAAGGACAGATTGCTTTTAAAAATACGGTTCAATGCGTTAACAAGCAAACTGTTATACTCTTGTTGCACCCTAGAACGAAGTATAAAAAATTAGCCCATTTCTAGAAAGGGTATCAGTATTAGAGCTTATTCTAGAACGGAGTATAAAATATTGGCCCATTTCTAGAACGGGATATCAATTTTAGGGGAATTTATTTTTAGAACGGGGTACCAATTTGGAGTCCAGGGTGGCACATACCCACCCAAAAAATACCCAAGTGCGCCCTCCGGGAGTCAACGTCAAAGAAATGTACTAAGAAGCTTGACGCACGTGCAGCAACTATTGTTTTCATGTTAAAACCAATTGGTGGTCGTGGTGGTTCAGATTTTTACATTTCAGATTTTGATATTTTTTCCACTAATTCGAGAAGTTGCTATAAAAATTACAAATATATTACAAAAACAAGGGGAAGAAAACCAGCAAATTACATAAATCCTGATCAAAGGTGAAATGTGCGCAGTGGCCAAAGAAGCTTAGGCTTTCGAGTTGGTCACTTAAGCTCCCTACAATGTTTAAATGACTGGGTGCATGACTTATGAGCTTTGAAATTAAGACGAAGAATTCCTTCTCAGTTCCAGTTAAGAGAGTATCTAAGACAAGTTCTCCCGTTGACTTCTATTCTGACACAAAACAAATGGAACTGAAGTGTACCTTCAAGGGATGGCCTCATCCTCGTGTAGTTTGGTACAATCCAGACAAAAAGCAAATCATCAACGGATCTGAAGGTTTTTACATCTCGGAGCAGCTGGATGGAGAGGATACCTTAACTTCCCTTCTCCGTAATGCTAATATCCAAGAAAAACAAGCAGGGGCTTATAAATGCACTGGAATGAACAACATTACCGGCTGGTCGATTGAAAAATCAGGGATAATTGACCTGATTTATGGCTGTGAGTCATTTAATTTCTTATTTGAATTCTTCTTATACACACGGATACACAAAACTACCTTAATTAACAGTACCTCCTTTGTATCAGGTTCAGCATAAAAAAGTATTGCCATGTCTACCCTATAAGCAATGGAAAGTATCCCATTTAGACTAAGAGGGACAGCTCATTCTCTCTTGATTTAGACGGAATTTAATATTGGGTGCCTCATGTTTTAAATAACAGATAAAGTTATTCCCAGCTGATTTAAAAGAAATCAATATAACTGAAAATTTCGTGCCACCTTCCTCTTTCCATTCAGACCAATTGGACGCTGCAATTTTTATTTGTTTATCCCTCGGGTCACAAGGGATAAGTAAATAAGTAAATAAATAAATGACGATTTAGTGGCGCTAGCTCATCCACATAATGGTTCTTTGTCTGCCATTCTGGCTCAAATTTACCCCGCGCAGCTGGCGGGATTAACGTGGGAGTGATGTATTTTTTTGGCGGCGATGGCGGAATAAGGGTGAGAAGCAACAAAACTCAACCAGGCCGGCCACATATGAAGTTGCCTGAGGAATCAAGCACAGGACAGTCATTAATGAGAGGGGAGTGTTCTCACCTGAAATACAGTAGAACGTCTATATAACGAAATCATCGGTATAATTACAACTATTCCACCAGTGTGCGTTGGATATGAGATGGTAGGGAGCCAACGAGGCGCGTAGCACCGAGTTGGCAGAAAGAAAAAGGAGAATTTGTCGTCGTATTTTCACTTTCTCTATAAAACGTCGTATTCCTTGATTAGGTTTCACTTCATAGTCCTGCAGTCAACGTCAAAGAAATGTACTAAGAAGCTTGACGCACGTGCAGCAACTGTTGTTTTCATGTTAAAACCAAATGTGTTTTGACGTTGTCGTCGTGGTGGTTCAGATTTTTACATTTCAGATTTTGATATTTTTTTCCACTAATTCAAGAGGTTGCTATAAAAATGAAACAAATATATTACAAAAACAAGAAGAAGAAAACCAGCAAATTACATAAATCCTGATCAAAGGTGAAATGTGGGCAGTGGCCAAAGGAGCTTAGGCTTTCGAGTTGGTCACTTAAGCTCCCTACAATGTTTAAATGACTGGGTGCATGACTTATGAGCATTGAAATTAAGACGAATAATTCCTTCTCAGTTCCAGTTAAGAGAGTATCTAAGACGAGTTCTCCCGTTGACTTCTATTCTAACAACAAACAAATGGAACTGAAGTGTACCTTCAAGGGATGGCCTCGTCCTCGTGTAGTTTGGTCCAATCCAAAAAACAAACAAATCATCAACGGATCTGAAGGTTTTTACATCTCGGAGCAGCTGGATGGAGAGGATACCTTAACTTCCCTTCTCCGTAATCCTGATATCCAAGAAAATCAAGCAGGGGCTTATAAATGCACTGGAATGAACAACATTACCGGCTGGTCGATTGAAAAATCAGGGATAATTGACCTGATTTATGGCTGTGAGTCATTTAATTTCTTATTTGAATTCTTAATATACACACGGATACACAAAAACACCTTAATTAACAGTACCTCCTTTGTATCAGGTTCAGCATAAAAAGGTTTTTCCCGTGTTTGCCCTGTAAGCAATGGAAAGTATCCCTTTTAGACTAAGAGGGACAGCTCATTCTCTCTTGATTTAGACGGAATTTAATATTGGGTGCTTCATGTTTTAAATAACAGATAAAGTTATTCCCAGCTGAATTTAAAAGAAATTGATATAACTGAAAATTTCGTGCCACCTTCCTCTTTCCATTCAGACCAATTGGACGCTGCAATTTTTATTTGTTTACCCCCCGGGTCACAAGGGATAAGTAAATAAGTAAATAAATAAATAAATAACGATTTAGTGGCACTAGCTCATCCACATAATGGTTCTTTGTCTGCCATTCTGGCTCAAATTTACCCCGCCCTGATGGCGGGATTAACGTGGGAGTAATGTATTTTTTTGGCGGCGATGGCGGAATAAGGTTGAGAAGCAACAAAACTCAACCAGCACGACCACGTATGTACGGAAGCCCAGGGGGGCCAGATAGTGATTTCGTTTTTATTTTTCACTTTTCGGTTTTTATTTTTTCCGTTTCCGTTTTTGTTTTTTACTTTTCAGTTTTTGTTTTAAACGTTTTGATTTTCACTTCGTCATTTTGCTTTTCGGTTTTGGTTTTGGTTTTTATTTTGTCCTTTTCCGTTTTTGTTTTTAACGTTTTGATTTTCACTTCGTCATTTTGCTTTTTGGTTTTGCTTTTGAGTTTGATTTTTTACCTTTCCGTTTTTGTTTTTAACGTTTTGATTTTCTCTTCGTCATTTTGCTTTTTGGTTTTGCTTTTGATTTTGATTTTTTACTTTTCTGTTTTTGTTTTAAACTTTTTGATTTTCACCTAGCAATTTTAATCTATATTATGAAAACCAAAACCAAAACCAAAACCTTATTATAACATTTGAAAACGAAAACCAAAAAAACCAAAACCGACAGCGTAGACCATCATGCTTTGCTGGAGGATCAATATTGCGGATCAAGGTGTCCATTCGGCGGAGTGCGGCTTTGTTGATGATGTTAGCCCAGGTAAATTATCTGATTTCATCTCCATTGATTGCTCTGAATCGTAAATTGTATCTTTTTTCAACGCACCTTTTAATTCTTCTATTAAAGCTATGGAAATCCCGTTAATCGACTCCAAGACCAATGCTACAATTGTGGAATATGTTCAAGTAGACGGGATTTTGGCGTGGATTGGAGGCACTAACGTGGTGTAGGCTATCGCACATTAGTCAAGCTTTCATTTACAGTGGATCGTAACCGCATATGAGACTGTGAATATCGAGAGGAATAAAATCTTTGAGCATAATGGAAGGATAAAAGTATGGCCATTACGTTTTTAACACGTGTCGGTTCTCAATCATGTAACAACAATAACAACGGCTCAAAACAATTCTTATGGATAAAACCTAGGTGAAACTGCTAAGTTTTATGTAGAAGTAATGAACAGTAAGCGACAAAAAGAGGGCAAATTTGGTCACGTGGTATACAAATTCACGTTTACCATTTGTCTTGAAGGTCACTGTACATTTATTGTTGTTCTTGTAACTCGTGTTCCATCGAAGCACTTACATTTATTACGTCCGTGCGTTCCATAATTTTAAGGAGAGTTGAAAACTGGAGAACCAGAAAAACTGACCTCCAGTCTCTGAGCAACGGAAGGAACCATCAATTCTTGAAGAAATTTATCAGGCTAGTGAAGATGATAAGTCGATTTAAATGTTCTTAAAACATAGCCAGTCTTAATGATGCTGACAGTTTCGATGACTGTCAGCCATCTTTATCAAAACTTGGAAAACATTCAAAGTGGCAGAAGCCTTAAATAGGCTTTTGAAGCTGTTAATTATTGCGATAAACGCGCAAAGTCACTCTGTAGACGCCCCCTCCCCCCCTGGTTTGGGGGTGGAGATCACCCACCTCAGGATTTGAACCCGAGCATTGGTGACAAGCGAGTTCTCTCTCTGCATCTCCCTTGCTCGGAGTAGTATAAAAGTACCATGCAAAGGCAAGACAGTGAATTATTATACTCTTTTGCCTTTACCGTGACAAATCAGATCATAGATTTATAGATTTGTCACTCATGACTGCGTACATTCTGGGTAGTCACGTAACTCTTCATGGGGTAACATAATTTCTAAGAAAGCTTTAACAATAACCGAAAAAACAACAACAAAAAAACGTCTTCCAGCGGAGTATCTTTTATAGAAATCCGGACGAGAGACACTATTTTTTGTCATGGACTAACAAAGTTTCCGTTTTTTTCACTGCAGTGTACGTACATTAAAGAGGCGTTTTAAGGCCCTCAATATTAAACGCCATGTCCAGGTGTCACAAAGAGTAATTCTGAATGCCGTTTCGGTGAGCCATTTTTAGTTGTTTGCCTACTTTCCAGTTATATGCTTTCTGTATAGACACAGTTAAAAGAAGGTCCATGCATGATTACACGAGTGACAAATCTATAAATCTATGATCTGATTTGTCACGGTAAAGGCATAAGAGTACAATAATTCACTGTCTTGCCTTTACATGGTACTTTTATACTACTCCGAGCAAGGGAGACGCAGAGAGAGAACTCGCTTGCCAAAAATGTAGCTCGGGTTCAAATCCTGAGGTGGGTGATCTCCACCCCCAAACCAGGGGGGGAGGGGGCGTCTACAGAGTGACTTTGCGCGTTTATCGCAATAATTAACAGCTTCAAAAGCCTATTTAAGGCTTCTGCCACTTTGAATGTTTTCCAAGTTTTGATAAAGATGGCTGACAGTCATCGAAACTGTCAGCATCATTAAGACTGGCTATGTTTTAAGAACATTTAAATCGACTTATCATCTTCACTAGCCTGATAAATTTCTTCAAGAATTGATGGTTCCTTCCGTTGCTCAGAGACTGGAGGTCAGTTTTTCTGGTTCTCCGGTTTTCAACTCTCCTTAAAATTATGGAACGCACGGACGTAATAAATGTAAGTGCTTCGATGGAACACGAGTTACAAGAACAACAATAAATGTACGGTGACCTCTAAGACAAACGGTAAACGTAAATTTGTATACCGTGTGACCAAATTTGCCCTCTTTTTGTCGCTTACGGCTCATTACTTCTACATAAAACTTAGCAGTTTCACCTAGGTTTTATCCATAAGAATTGTTTTGAGCCGTTGTTATTGTTGTTACATGATTGAGAGCCGACACGTGTTAAAAACTTAATGGCCATACTTTTATCCTTCCATTATGCTCAAAGATTTTATTCCTCTCGATATTCACAGTCTCATCAGTGTACGCGATTACGATCCACTGTAAATGAAAGCTTGACAAATGTGCGATAGCCTACACCACGTTAGTACCTCCAATCCACGCCAAAATCCCGTCTACTTGAACATATTCCACAATTGTAGCATTGGTCTTGGACTTTCTGATCCAGTCGATTAACGCGATTTCCATAGCTTTAATAGAAGAATTAAAAGATGCGTTGAAAAAAGATACAATTTACGATTCAGAGCAATCAATGGAGGTAAAATCAGATAATTTACCTGGGCTAACATCGTCAACAAAGCCGCACTCCGCCGAATGGCATGGACACCTTGATCCGCAATATTGATCCTCCAGCAAAGCATGATGGTCTACGCTGTCGGTTTTGGTTTTGGTTTTCATAATATAGATTAAAATTGCTAAGAGAAAATCAAAACGTTTAAAAAAAAAAACGGAAAAGTAAAAAATCAAAATCAAAACCAAAACCAAAAAGCAAAATGACGAAGTGGAAATCAAAACGTTAAAAACAAAAACGGAAAAGTAAAACATCAAAACCAAAACCAAAGCCAAAAAGCAAAATGACGAAGTGAAAAAACGTTAAAAACAAAAACGGAAAAGTGAAAAATCAAAATCAAAACCAAAATCAAAAAGCAAAATGACGAAGAGAAAATCAAAACGTTAAAAACAAAAACGGAAAACGACAAAATAAAAACCAAAACCAAAACCGAAAAGCAAAATGGCGAAGTGAAAATCAAAACGTTTAAAACAAAAACTGAAACGTAAAAAACAAAAACGGAAACGTAAAAAATAAAAACCGAAAAGTGAAAAATAAAAGCGAAATCACTATCTGCCCCCCTTGGGCTTCGGTACATATGATGTTGTCTGAGGAATCAAGCACAGGACAGTCATTAATGAGAGGGGAGTGTTCCCACCTGAAATACAGTAGAACCTCTATATAGTATAGTGACGTATTTTTTTGGCGGCGTTGGTGGAATAAGGGTAAGAAGCAACAAAACTCAACCCGGCCGGCCACATATGAAGTTGCCCTGAGGAATCAAGCACAGGACAGTCATTAATGAGAGGGGAGTGTTCTTGTAAATTGACCTTGTAAATATCTTATTATCCACTCCCCTCAGGGCTTTTCAGGGATAATTTACAACACTGGTTGGGGGACTTTGCCAGACTGCTTAAGGTGCAGTTTACAAGTAATGAAGGAATGAGTAATGATGCCCCCATACATGAGTGCGAAAGTGAGATAGACCACTACACCGGGCACTACGTGCCCTACTCTTTACGAAGAGTGTGTGGGTTCTTTAACGTCCCACAGATTTAATACATGTGCAAGGGCTTGTGAGACGGGGCCTACGGTTTATCGTCCTTATCCGAGAAGACTAGAAAGTCTAGCCGTTTGCAGATATTATTACAAAGGCAGCACTTTCTCCTCAGTTATTTAAAGACCCTGAGTGTTGGTCCGGCCGGGGTTTGAACCCGCGACCTCCCGCTCAGCAGACCGGCGCTCTCCCAACTGAGCTAACCAGGCTCATTTGACTGATCTTGTTCTCACCTAAAATACAGTAGAACCTCTATATAACGAATTCGTCGGTATAATTAACAATTATTCCACCAGTGTGCGTTGGATATGAGATGGTAGGGAGCCAACGAGGCGCGTAGCACCGAGTTGGCAGAAAGAAAAAGGAGAATTTGTCGTCGTATTTTCACTTTCTCTATAAAACGTCGTATTCCTTGATTAGGAGGTTTCACTTCATAGTCATGCAGTCAACGTCAAAGAAATGTACTAAGAAGCTTGACGCAAGTACAGCAACTGTTGTTTTCATGTTAAAACCAAATGTGTTTTGACGTTGACGTCGTGGTGGTTCAGATTTTTACATTTCAGATTTTGATATTTTTTCCACTAATTCAAGAGGTTGCTACAAAAATTACAAATATATTACAAAAACAAGATGAAGAAAACCAGCAAATTAGATAAATCCTGATCAAAGCTGAAATGTGGGCAGTGGCCAAAGGAGCTTAGGCTTTCGAGTTGGTCACTTAAGCCCCCTAGTTTAAATGACTGGGTGCATGACTTACGAACTTTGAAATTAAGACGAAGAATTCCTTCTCAGCTCCAGTTCAGAAAGGAGATAAGACAAGTTCTCCCGTTGCCTACTATCCTAACACGACAGAAATGGAACTGAAGTGTACCTTCAAGGGATGGCCTCGTCCTCGTGTAGTTTGGTACAATCCAGATAAAAAAAAAATCATCAACGGATCTGAAGGTTTTTACATCTCAGAGCAGCTGGATCGAGAGGATACTTTAACTTCCCTTCTCCGTAATCCTGATATCCAAGAAAAACACGCAGGGGCTTATAAATGCACTGGAATGAACACCATTACCGGCTGGTCGACTAAAATATCAGCGTATATTGACCTGCATTATCGCTGTGAGTCATTTTATTTCTTATTTCAATTCTAATACTACGGATGTGCAAAACTACCTCCTTTGAAGCAGGTTCATAAAAACATAATACCATGTTTCTCCTGTAAGCAATGGAAAGTATCCCATTCAGACTAAGAGGGACAGCTCATTCTCTCTTGATTTAGACGGAATTAAATACTGGGTGTTTCATATTTCAAATAACAGATTAACTTATTCCTAACTGAATTTAAAAAAATGTAACTGACAATTTCGTGCCACCTTCCTCTTCCATTTAGACTAAATGGACGCTGGAATTTCTATTTGTTTACCCCTCGGATCACAAGGGATAAGTAAATAAGTAAATAAATAATGATTTAGTGGCGATATCTCATCCACAAAGTGGTTCTTTGTCTACCATTCTGGCTCAAATTTACCCCGCGCAGCTGGCAGGATTAACGTGGGAGTGATGTGTTGTTTTGGTGGCAATGGAGGAATAAGGGTGAGTACCAACAAAACTCAACCCGGCCGGCCACATATGATATTGCCCGAGGAATCAAGCAGAGGACAGTCATTAATGAGAGGGGAGTGTTCTCACCTGAAATTCAGTAGAACCTTTACATAACAAAGTCGTCGGTATAATTGACAATTATTCCACATATTCCACGAGTGTGCGTTAGATATGAGATGGTAGTTAGCCAACGAGGCGCGTAGCACCGAGTTGGCTATAATCATCTCATATCCAACAAGCGCGAGTGGAATAATTATTCTATTAAAAACGCCCACAAAATATTGAGGAATCTTCCCAACTTTATTTGTAAACCAACTGATTTTCATCTTGTTTTTAATTTTGAGCAGACGCGTACAGTTACCATATTTGAAGAGCATGGTATAACGGCTCATATACAATGATGGCTAAGCCAACCATAGCTGTAGAATTGCATTATCCAATGATTCAATTTTTAATAATAAGTGATACTCTCCCCCCCCCCCAGAAATAAGACAGTCAAACCGCGAAAATCTCGACAATGAACGGGCCGTACAAAGAAAGAGTCCGTATTAACGGGGTGACCTTATTAAGCTGGTAGAAAATGAAAGGGCTTTCTTTCCCCAGGGACAAAGCAAACTGTCCGTAACAATGAGATGTCTGTATTGAGCGGGTTTCCAGACTGGAGCGGGGTTTGACTGTACAATAAATAAAAGGAACCTCGATATAACAAAACCTCTTTAAAGCGAGCATATTTTGCCAGTCCTTTGGGTCTTCGTTCAGCTGTTCGTTATATCGAGATCCCAATGTAAAGTGTTATGTGATTGTTAGAAAGACAAAAGGAGACCCCGAATAGCTATTGAAATCAACACTTAGCAGCAGAGGCCATATTGGTGGGAGGTAAGAGAAGTGAGGTTCATCCGATCAACCGATCGTTAGAGCGCCTCTAAAGATGGCGTGACGAGACAAGTCGCAAAAGAGGGAACCAGTGGGATAAACACAATCAACACGTAAAAACTCCAAAGCTTTGTGATGCCCCATATAGTCACAAATACTCAGGAGGGGAAGGTAAGAGTAAAAATGTTACCCCCTACGGTTACACAAAAAAATGGTAACGATTTTCAAATAATATTTGCTCATCATATCTTCTTATCATCTAATACAGGTTTCGTGCCTAAAGCTCCGCAGATTACTTCTCTCGAGGTTTCCAAGAAAGCCTACCTCAATGTCAGGTTAAAGTGCAGAGTAGGTGTTAGCCCAAGCAACTGTATTGACAATTCTTTGCAGTGGTATTTTAACAACAGCTCAGTGAAATTAAAATCTGGTGAAAAGTATGTTATACAAGAAAGGAAAACCAACACCAAATGCAAAAAAGATTTCATTCTCACCATTGTTAACGCTACTGATGCAGACAAAGGAGAGTATAAATGTCGCTATGTCTGCAACTTCGGCTATTCCTGGTCTTCAACTATCCAGTTGGAAGTATTTCCAGGTACTGATAATCCTGTTATATCTAAAGGTCTAACCGCTCAAAAGCCCGAGGGGGGCGGGGGGTGTTATTTGGATAGATTTTTGCTGGGTACGTTCCGCTGGCCTCTCAGAGCCCCTACCCCATTATAGTCTATTCTGTGGCCAATTATAGACCCCATCTTAGTCACTTTTGGGCAAATGTGCAGTTTTCGGGTTCCCAACTTAGTAACTTTCTATTTTTATGAATCGACCCATTTTTATATTGAATGAGTAGTACAAACATTCTGGTACGTTTGCTAACCATAAATATGAAGAACTGTTTTCCCCAAAAACTCCGAAAATGTGCGACCCCATTATAGTCAATCCAGTCGTGAAAATGGACCCCATCCAGCGGCACATCCCCACTAGACTCTTATACGGAAGTCCCCTCCCCTCCCCCTCGGGCTCAAAACAGTAACACAGCAAATGCAAAAGGAGTCATGTCATGTGAGGACAAGCTTGAAGGGTTGAAACTGGTTGCAACTAAGTGTTCCATAAGAAAACGAAGAATTTAATCCGAAGAATAACTCGCAATTGTATAACAGTAATTTTATTTGATCTGAAATCAAATTCTATTCTACTTAAAAAGTGTAATCAAATAATTGATAAATGAAACTAGAAAAAGCGGAATAAATGCCGATAAAAACTAAACGTTGATACAAGCGAAATCACGTGGTTCTTGAAACAAACTCAATTTAAGCTACTTTAACTCTGTTGAAAAGGTAACGAAAGAAAGAATAAACTAACAAAACGAAGGTAACATACAGTTCAGTTGCTTCTACGGCGAGTTTTCTAAAATTTCCTTGAATAAGCATTAAATCGTTCCGGGTAGCAGGTAAACTGTTAACACTTTGATCCTTGCAGTACGGTGGTCGGTAAAAAGCTTATAAAAACTCGAACAAAGCGGGTACTTTTGTGCTTCCTGTTGGGCGTTTACGGGTTTCCTACTTTTGCCAGCAAGATTAAATATAAAAATTCCTTGAATAGTTATTTTACTACGTTAACTCTGAGGTTTTTGAAAACTCAAGAAGACTAAAAGTTTTTCAAAATTCATTTTTTTTTTGCCTGTAACTTTTCATATAATGTGTCGGAAACAAATGTGTTTGACTTAAAGCAATGATTTTGTCATTTGCAAGTGATTTTACGCTGAGTTCCAGCAAACCATGACGTCATAGCCCATTTGTTTCGGTGAGAGGGTACTCCCTTTGTAAGCGAATCGTTTAAAACCATTTGGGTCTGAAACAGGGAAAGGTTTTGCGCCGTTTGAATACAGGGTCTGAAATTACATGTTCGTGCATGAGTTTTTTATATTTTTGTTGTTGCTATTGTTTTAAATCATCCGTCTTCAGGTCTGTGAATAGGGTAGGAAAAGTCGTACTCTACCGAAACGGGTCTACAGCGAATTCCATAAATACGTGCACTTGAAATTTCCTTTTAAACGGATAGGGCAATTGGAGGGTAAAGATTACTTCTGTTTTTGAAATAATTATAGTGTAAATTATAGCTGAAATTTCTACTCGTGTGGGGCTATTTATTTTTAGGTGCCAGACAGCAACTCTGTCGCGATACCCATCAAGGGGACGGCGAATCGTAACACCATCCTTTATCTGCATAATCGTTTCACATGATACCATAGCCGAATCAGAATCCAGTATTGCATCTGGGTTGAGTAATGTATTAGGTTCCAGACCCTTTTATATTTTAGGGCAGGTTTTGCACATGCGCAGTTGCATTAAAAGAATGACTAGCAAATGGTTCGTTTCGTGTTGTTGTTTAAGACCAGAATATTACAATTTTGGCGACGAGGATGGCGCTTGTAGGTCAAGTTCGGGAGTATGTGAACGGTACAGAAGATATTGCAAGTTATATCGAAAGAGTGGAATTGTATTTTGCGGCGAATTATGTCAAGGCGGATTACAAAGTTGCTACGTTTCTAGCGTTTATCGTAGCAGATGCATATGACGTGCCGCGAAATTTGTTAGCCCCTGAACGTCCAGTATATATAAGTCTTTTGTGTAATAGTATGAAAAGCTGACTGAACGATTTGGAAACCAGCTCTAATTTCAAAGTCACTGATCAATAAGTTCCTGGAGATATCAGCAGATCAGGATGAAAACAATTTGACAACTCGCGCTACATATATTGTAAGAACATTCATGGGGCAGGCTTTGGACCAGCAACTAAAATGCAGCAGATTGTTACAAAGCTAGCTCCAAAAAGTTTTGCAGTAAGGTGAAGCAGGCAAAAGTTAAAGCTACAGCCCAAATAAGTTTACCTTAGCGACCTAGATGAGTGGCTGAAACCGAGAGTCAAGTCGAAGTGATAGGCTTTGGTTGCTCCACTAATATGCCATGTTGGAGGGCGAGAAAAGCAAAGGGACATGACAAACAACAAACAAAGGAATCATTCTAAGTGATGCTACAACCAGTTGCAAAAATGATGAGACACTCCCACGGAAAAACAACCTTTCTTGCTTCAAATATATCGCTCCTGGTCACAGGTCTGTAAAATATAATACTGACCTCCCTCCTCCCTCCCATTCAAAGTTGTTCCTCCAAGTTTTGAGTATGGTCTTGTATTGCTAGCAACTTTGATAAGGGGTGGAGGGGGGATCACAAGCACAAGATCATGGACAGGCCATGTATGGCAAAATACGGTACAGTGTCTCAAGTACTTTTGCAACTGGTTGTCTCATTTAAGGTTTACTTCAAGAAGCAATTTCCACGTCTTAAATTCCCAAAACGAAGACTATAGCGACATAAATAAATAGAATGGCACTTTGTGTTGCTTTTCGCAGCCGATACATCATTGTCATTGATAGCAAACTGCCTAAAAAAGCGCTTAAGAATGTAGTGACTTGTAAATTTTGCCTCAGTTTTGTTGTAACGCATGCGCCATTATCTAACGTGACATAGGTTAAAGTTTCGGCGTTGTAATTAAGCTCTGAGAAGCGCGAATGCATAATAACAGCATAATTTTCCTTTTCTTGGTATTTAGAGATACTATAGTTGCGAATAAAGCTGCCAAACCTTCATTTTCACTCCTGTATCTGTAACGCAATGACATTTGATATGCAATGGCGTTATGTAATCGGTATACCGCGTGACTTGTTTTTCAACTTCGCTGTTAAAGTAAAACCGTTCCGTTTTTTTCATCTACTACGGTGAAAATAAGATGGTTATTAAAGTCCGTTAGAGCTAGAGAGCAGAAAAAGTTGTGTGCTATGTTAATTTCTATTTTCGGACGGTCTACCATCGTCCACGGTCTACCACTCTGCAACAGTAAGAAATAGAATATATTATTATATTTATCTCATATGATGGTAGACCGTGTAGACCGCTGAAGCACGTAAATTCCTGACATTGCTGTGCTGAAAAATTGCTTTTCTTGGGGATAGTGTCTTCCTTTTTGCAAAGAAATAAATTTCCTTACCAAGTACAGAACAACAAAGCCACGTTATAGGCGAGCTCTCGCGACTATGTTACTGAAATACGCGCGTGAGTTTTCATTATCTGATGCCTATAGCCACACTCGGGCTTCAAAATCGAAACAAAGTTGTACGACGACCAAAGAGTAAACACAAATCCAAACTTTTGTTAAGTAAAGTAAAGTCGACAACAGCTGCTTTTTAGCGTAACTTTTCTTTCCTGTAAATGGCAGGCGATAAAAGAGGAACCACGTCCACGCACTTATCGGAAACAACAACAAAAAGCTATCTCCTTGATCTAGCGGGGCATCTTACGTCACTTTCCTTCCATAAATAAACATCTTTTAACCGAGTTCGAAGGAAATATATTATTTTTCGCATCTCTGTAGCGTTTTAGGACCGAAAACCCCTTTCGTTGCAGCTTACTTAAGATGGTGTAGCATCTTTTGCCACGTGCTTCCTTTAAAAGCCCAATTTCTTGCATATTACCACATAAACAAAAGGGCCAACAACTGCCGTTTTTCTCTCGCCATTTTTAAACAGGGAAACCGACAAAAATGAAATACATTTTTATATAACCACCTCCTTAGGTGCTAAGAGTGCACCACGTTTTACCCTGTTTAATAATCGTGCACCACGGCTATAGGGGTATGAAGGACTCAGACAACCAGTTGCAAAAATGATGAGACACTCCCACGGAAAAACAACCTTTCTTGCTTCAAATCGTTCCTGGTCACAGGTCTGTAAAATATAATACTGACCTCCCTCCTCCCTCCCATTCAAAGTTGTTCCTCCACGTTTTGAGTATGGTCTTGTATTGCTAGCAACTTTAATAAGGGGTGGAGGGGGGATCACAAGCACAAGATCATGGACAGGCCATGTATGGCAAAATACGGTACAATGTCTCAAGTACTTTTGCAACTGGTTGTAGCTTTTTCTTTGGCTTGACTCACTGCGTAGGGCTTCGCTCTCCAGCATGGCAGGTTTGTGCAACAAAAATGACTTACTTGAAAGGGCCTATTTAAAATGAACGAGGCATGGAGTAAAACATGGTTGGTCCGTTTGACTGTAGGTATCTTAAAAATCGTGAGCTAAGCAACGACGATGACGACGACGGCAGTGAAAATGTCGCTAAAAAATTAAATTTGCCTCGTTTCAAATGTTATCGCGTCTATTTGGAGCTGCTTAATTTGTCAAATGTAGGCGATTTCTCTTGGAGTTGAATTTTTAAGGACTTTATCCAGGTTCATTAAGAAAAAGGAGAATTGGTCGTCGTATGTTCACTTTCTCTATAAAACGTCGTATTAGGAGGTTTCACTTCATAGTCGTGCAGTGCACGTCAAAGAAATGTACTAAGAAGCTTGATGCACGTGCAACAACTGTTGTTTTCATCTTAAAAAATAGTTTTTTCTTGCTATTTGTGGGCATTGAGAGATTTTAATCTGAATAAATCAAGAGGTTACTACAAAATAGAATTACAATACATTACAAAAGTAAGAAAAAATAAAACAATAATTTACATAAATCCTGATCAAAGGTGAAATCTGAGCAGACGCCATAGTAGGTTTGGCTTTTGAGTTGGTCACTTAAGTTTCCTAGTTTAATGACTTGGTGCATAACTTAGGAGCTTTGAAATTAAGACGAAGAATTCCTTCTCAGTTTCAGTTGAGAGAGTACATAAGACAAGTTCTCCCGTTGACTACTATCCTGACACGACAGAAGTGGAACTGAAGTGTACCTTCAAGGGATGGCCTCGTCCTCGTGTAGTTTGGTCCAATCCAGATAACAAACAAATCATCAACGGATCTGAAGATTTTTACATCTCAGAGCAGCTGGTTGGAAAGGATACCTTAACTTCCCTTCTCCGTAATGCTAATATCCAAGAAAAACACGCAGGGGCTTATAAATGCACTGGAATGAACAAAATTACCGGCTGGTCGAGTAAAAAATCAGGGTATACTGACCTGAACTATCGCTGTGAGTCATTTAATTTCTTATTTTTAATACTACACACGGATGCGCAAAACTACCTCCTTTGAAGCAGGTTCATAAAAACATAATACCATGTTTCTCCTGTAAGCAATGGAAAGTATCCCATTTAGACTAAGAGGGACAGCTCATTCTCTCTTGATTTAGACGGAGGTAAATATTGGGTATTTCATGTTTCAAATAACAGATTAACTTATTCCTAACTGAATTTAAAAAAATGTAACGGAAAATTTCGTTCCACCTTCCTCCTCCATTTAGACTAAGTGGACGCTGGGATTTTTATTTGTTTACCCCCCGGGTCACAAGGGATAAGTAAATAAGTAAATAAATAATGATTTAGTGGCGATATCTCATCCACAAAGTGGTTCTTTGTCTACCATTCTGGCTCAAATTTACCCTGCGCGGCTGGCAGGATTAACGTGGGAGTGATGTGTTGTTTTGGTGGCAATGGCAGAATAAGGGTGAGAAGCAACAAAACTCAACCCCGCAGGCCACATATGATGTTGCCTGAGGAATCAAGCACAGGACAGTCATTAATGAGGGACGAGTGTTCTCACCTGAAATTCAGTAGAACCTCTATATAACGAAGTCGACGGTATAATTCACAATTATTCCACTTATTCCACGAGTGTGCGTTAGATATGACATGGTAGTTAGCCAACGAGGCGCGTAGCACCGAGTGCTCAATAATCATCTCATATCCAACCCGCGCGAGTGGAATAATTATTCTATTAAAAACGCCGACAAAATATCGAGTAACCTTCCCGACTTTATTTGTAAACCAACCGATTTTCATCTTGTTTTTAATTTTGAGCAGACGCGTACAGTTACCATATTTGAAGAGCATGGTATAACGGCTCATATACCATGATCGTTAAGCCAATGAAAGCACTAGAATTGCATTATCCAATGATTCAATTTTTAATAATAAACGATACTCTCCGCCCCAGAAATAATACAGTCAAACCCCGTAAATACCGACACTGAAGGGGCCGTACTAAGAAAGAGTCCGTATTAGCGGGTTGACCTTATTAAGCGGGTAGAAAATGGAAGGGCCTTCGATCTTTCCCCAGGGACAAAGCAAACTGTCCGTAACAATGAGATGTCTGTATTGAGCGGGTTTCCATACTGGAGCGGGGTTTGACTATACAATAAATAAAAGGAACCTCGATATAACAAAACCTCTTTATAGTGAGCATATTTTGCCAGTCCTTTGGGTTTTCGTTCAGCTGTTCGTTATATCGAGATTCCAATGTAAAGTGTTATGTGATTGTTAAAAAGAGAAAACGAGACCCCCAATAGCTATTGAAATCAACCCTTAGTAGCACAGGCCATATTGGTAGGAGGTAAGAGAAGTGGGGTTCATCCGATCAACCGATCGTTAGAGCGTCTTTATAGACGGCGTGACGAGACAAGTCGCAAAGGAGGAAACCAGTGGGATAAACAAAATCAACACGTAAAAACTCCAAAGCGTTTTGATGCCCCATAAATTGTCACAAATACTCAGGAGGGGAGGGGAAGAGTAAGAATGTTACCCCTTACGGTTGCACAAAAAAATGGTAACCATTTTCAAATAATATTTGCTCATCATATCTTCTTATCATCTAATACAGGTTTATGGCCTAAAGCTCCGCAGATTTCGTCTCCTACGGTTTCAGTGACAGCCTACTTCAATGTCAGTTTAACGTGTCTAGCATTTGTTAGGCCAAGCGACTGTTGGGACAATTCTTTACGGTGGTATTTTAACAACAGCTCAGGGGAATTAAAATCTGGTGAAAAGTATGATATACAAGAAAGGAAAACCAACACCAGATGCAAAACAGACTTCATTCTCACCATTATTAACGTTACTGAAGCAGACGAGGGAAAGTATAAATGTCAGTGGCTCTGCGACGAGTACTACCCCGACGATTCCAGGTCTTCAATTATCCAGCTGAAAGTATTTCCTCCTCCAGAAGAAGGTACTGATACTCCTGTGATATCTAAAGGTCTTGTGTCACGAAATTTATCAAATTTAAAAAGTGGAAAACCCCACCAAATTGAGTGAAACATAAAAATAACCGCTCAAAACCTAAGGGGGTACGGTACTTGTGTAAATGTGTAACTTGTGTGTAAATATGTAATTTTCGCGATCCCAACTTAGTCCCTTTCTATTTTGAATTGACCCATTTTTTAGATGGAAAGAGGAACACTTTACTTTTCATCTGCAGTACAAACATTCTGGTTCGTTTTCTAACCATAAATATGGAGAACTATCTTACCCGAAAAACGCCGGAAATGTGCGACCCCATTATAGTCAATCCAGTCGTGAAAATGCGACCCCATCCAGCGGCACATCCCCATTAGCCTCTTATAAGGAAGCACCACCCCCCCCCCCCCCCACCCGATCCCGGGCTCAAAACAGTAACACGGCAAATACAAAAGGAGTCATGTCATGTGAGGACAAGCTTGAAGGGTTGAAACTGCTTGCAACTAAGCGTTTCATTAGAAATCCGAAGAATAACTCGCAATTGCATAATTTCATTCGATCTGAAATCAAGTTGTACAAATATGTTCTATTTAATAAGTGTAATCAAATAATTGATACATGAAACTAGAAATAAATACCGCTAAATGCTAAACGTTGATACAAGCGAAGTCACATGGTTCTTGAAACAAACTCAATTTAAGCTACTTCAACTCTGTCTAAAAAGTAACGAAAGAAAGACTAAATTAACAAAACGAAGGCAACATACAGTTCACTTACTCCTTAAATGTTCTTGAATAGGCATTAAATCGGTCTGGGTAGTAGGTAAACTGTTAATACTTTGATCTTTGCTGTACGGCGGTCGGTAAAAAACTTATAAAAACTCGCATAAAGCGGGTACTTTTCTGGTTCCTGTTGGGCGTTTATGGTTTTCCAACTTTTGTCAGCTAGATTAAATATAAAGATTCCTTGAATATTTCTTTTATTACGTTAACACTGAGGATTTTGAAAACTGAAATATCCTAAAAGTTTTTGAAAAGTATTTTTTATGTCTGCAACTTTTCATATAATGTTTGGGAGACAAATGTGTTCGACATGAAGCAGCGATTTTGTCATTTGCAAGTGATTTCTTAACTCACGCCGAGTTCCATTGAAGAAATTATATGTTCGTGCATGAGTTTTTTAATATTTTTGTTGTTGCTATTGTTTTAAATCAGCCGCCTTCAGGTCTGTGAATAGGGAAGGAAAAGTCGTACTCTACTGACAGACAGGTGGACAGCAAATTCCATAAATACGTGCACTTGAAATTTCCTTTTAAACGGATAGGGCAATAGGAGGGTAAAGTTTACTTCTGTTTTTGAAATAATTATAGTGTAAATTATAGCTGCTATACTACTACATAAGAAATTTCTGCAGGACTGGTATCTGGTATTTTGGTACTGGTATTTTACGTATAACAATTTTGAAATATCACTCATAGTATTTATGCCAAATATCACTGCTAATCATGCTATTACCTATACTTATACCACTACATGAGAAATTTCTGCAATTTGATTGGCTTAGAGCAGTGGTATTTCAGCTTGAAATACCTACATGTGAAAATTACAAAACCTTTGTGGGTAGTAGTATAAACAAATAATAGCATGATTTGTAGATGATATTTGGCATAAACACCACTCGTGATATTTCAAAATTGTCTTAAATTTCACTTGCCTAACGGCTCGTGAAATTACGTATAACAATTTCGAAATATCACTTCAAATCATGCTATTACCTGAACAAATTTCTACTTGTGCGGCTATTTACTACTAGGTGCCAGACAGCAACTCTGTCGCGATACCCATGTAGGGGACGGCGACTCGTAACACCCTCCTTTATCTGCATAATCGTTTCACATGATACAGTAGCGGAATCAGAATCCAACATCTGGGTTGAGTAATCAGTATTAGGTTCCAGACCGCTTATATCTTAGGGCAGGTTTTACACATGCGCAGTTGCATTAAAATAATGACTAGCAAATGTTCGTTTCTTTTTGTTGTTTAAGACCAGAATATTACAATTTTGGCGACGAGGATGGCGCTTGTAGGTCAAGTTGGAGAGTATGTGGACGGTAAAAAAGATATTGCAAGTTATATCCAAAGAGTGGAATTGTATTTTGCGGCGAATTATGTCAAGGCGGATTACAAAGTTGCTACGTTTCTAGCGTTTATCGTAGCAGATGCATATGGCGTGCTGCGAAATTTGTTATCCCCTGCACGTCCAAAAGATAAGTCTTTTGAGCAATAGTATAAAAAGCTGACTGAACGATTTGGAAACCCTGTTCTAATTTCAAAGTCACTGATGAATAAGTTCCTGGAGATATCAGCAGATCAGGATAAAAACAATTTGACAACTCGCGCAACGCTGTGAGAACATTCATGGAGCAGGCTTTAGACCAGCAACTAAGACTTGACCCAAGTCAAATTCAAACAAATCGAAGTGGCGCAGTTATCTTGTGGCCCTTGTAGCAGATCTGACGGAAAGTTTCTCACAAGTTACCATGGCAAGGAAAGACAGAGGGCACCACCCCTTCCCGTGGGGGTAGAGGTTACACCTCTCTAGACACTCTATGAAGCAATGAGCTTGATGTTCGATGACCGCGCCTCACTTTATCTTGCCCAGTACGTTGTGCGACAACATGCAGAAGATAACAGAAATGACCACCCGCTAGCAATAATCGTAATGTTATTACGGGTGTACGTGGATGACATTATGACTTCATTGAGCACTAACGATGAAGCGATTAAAGCTCGAGAGTAGCTTAGGGAGCCACTTGGTAAGACAGGCTTCAAAATGCGGTCTGGTTGTAGCAACAGGCCAGAACTACCTTGCATGAAAGCATAAGGAAAGCAATAAGATGATGAGACGGATGTGTTTAACTTCAAGTTGAATCCCCTGCAGGATGTTGTCTATACCGAGCGAAGGTTCGGAAAGAAATTTTATATGCTTTTTTACCCATTACAGATGCTAGAGGAAGGATGGATATGCAGGGAACATGGTTACTGGGTTTAAAATAGGATGACTAGAAGAAGACGTATCCAGAATGGTTCAGTGAGTTACCAGAATTTTCCAGAGGACAGTTTTCAAGGTGCTATCGCATTGCTGGGAAAATTGATGTTTGCACATCTATTCATACAATGGTAGACGCGTCGCTGTTGGCATATGCAGATGTAACTTACGTTAGGCACAAATATGAAGATGCAGCTCGAGAAGAAGAAGAAGAAGAAGAAGAAGAAGGGAAGCAGGCTAGAGCTCTTGGCAAGAAAGAAAGGTGTAAGAGCTGTACTCTCTGAACGGACAGAAAGGGCGTCTTTTTCTGGATCCAGAGTCAGTCGAGGAGATCTTAGACTTCTGTGGCCAACGGAATATTTAACAATTATTCCTTGAGCCCGAATAGGCTCTGAGTCAATAGCCCATGAGGCCGAAGGCCGAACGGGCTATTGACTCAGAGGCTATGAGGGCGAGAAGAATAATTGTTTTAGTGAAATCCAACTACTTGGTAAAAAAATGTCGAGACCAAAAAGCCGGCGCTTTTCGCTACTAGTGGGTTATAACATATAGCCTAGTAGTAGCTCAACCAATGAGAACGCAGAATTTATAATAGACCGCTAGTTGGATTTTACTAACAGATTTATCAGACGCCTAACCCTAGACAGTGGAGACATGTACAAGACGTTTGTCGCCAACCAAGCATCAAAGATTCATCAGACGCCTAACCCCAGAGAGTGAAGAGACTCACAAGACTTTTGGCGCCAACTGAGTATATAGAACCTCGATGAATTGGCGTTTGATCCCAGGAGCCGTTGGATACTTATTCTTTACCTGGTAAAGCTGTCCTGGGGGCACTGGACAGAAGAGTTTCTGGACACACTTAATACCTAAAAGTTGGGAATGTCGTGCTCGCTGTCGATCAAAATTCTCCAATCGGTCGGAGGTAGTTTTTCCGCATCAGGATGGGCAGGGACGCGTTGTGCAGAGGAGTATAAGGGGCCAGAAGCTTATCCACCCTATAACACGATTGTATCGATTGAACGTCGCTGACCAGCCATAGTCCTAAAGAGAGGAGCTGAGGATCCGGAGCTCCTTGTAAGCTCCAGGTGATATCCCTGCGTATGGGACTGGAACTAGTCAAGTAAAAAGTTCCCTGAGAACGTGGAAAATTGGCTGTTTTGTGTTCTTCTTTGAACCAGGCTTTGGAACAGAATTTTTTACGCCTGAGAAAAATCCAAGAGGCGAGTTCCATAGCACCATGTATGTTTCCAGACTTCCGCAGGTATACCACACCTTCCAGGGGCTTTACCTTCCTTTCCTGCGTTGATGGCATCTAACAGTTCCTTGAATTCATGTTTTTCTTCAAAGCATGCAATGTTTAAAGGTCAGCAAATAGCACTATACCAGGAAACGCGTCGGCGAAACAGGTCAGCACGACATCAGTATATACATTTCCGTGGAATAACTGCGAGTTTGCTCGATTCAATAACGAGCCGCACCGTCTTAGCAACCAAAAAAAATTTGTTTATCTAGCTGAGATAGGGGACTAAAAGTCCTCATATTTCGCATCTAATACGATAGAGGCATCAATTTTCGCGCCATCATGTCATCATTCTAGGGCGAGAAATTAATTAAAAGCGCGGCATTCAACAAATGTACGGCTCAGGTTTCGGCTAAAATTATTCAGTGCCGTCAAAGAAAAAAACATATTATTAAAGTCTGCGTATTAAGTCGATCATATTGCTAACACAGACAAAAACGCTTAAATATCTCCTACAAAATGAACGGCCGAGTTTGTTTTTTCTACGCGTCAAACTGCTACTATATTTCCTAGAAGCGCTCAGGCATAAACATATGCCAGGACTTCAACCTGGATGAACCGGAAAGGATATGGAACAACTACCTATTTTTTTTTCCTTTTTACGTTTACGGGTCGAAATGCTAAACGTGTTATATATCCTAGAAGCGCTCAGGCATAATTATATGCCAGGACTTCTACCTGGATGAACCAGAAAGGATATAGAACAACTCCCTAATTTTTTTTTTCCTTTTTACGTTTACGGGTCGAAATGCTAAACGTGTTATATATCCTAGAAGCGCCCAGGCATAATTATATGCCAGGACTTCTACCTGGATGAACCAGAAAGGATATAGAACAACTCCCTAATTTTTTTTTTAAGGCTACGGGTTGAAATGCGAAACGTGTTATATATCCTAGAAGCGCTCAGGCATAATAATATGCCAGGACTTCTACCTTGATGAACCAGAGAGGATATAGGACAACTGCCTAATTTTTTTTTAAGGCTACGGATCGAAATGCTAAACGTCTTATATATCCTAGAAGCGCTCAGGCATAATAATATCATGCCAGGACGTCTACCTGGATGAACCAGCAAGGATATAGAACAACTGCCTAAATTTTTTTTTACGGCTACGGGTCGAAATGCTAAACGTGGTATATATCCTAGAAGCGCTCAGGCATAATTATATCATGCCAGGACTTCTACCTGGATGAACCAGAAAGGATATAGAACAACTACCTAATTGATTTTTACGGCTACGGGTCGAAATGCTTAACGTGTTATATATCCTAGAAGCGCTCAGGCATAATGACATCATGCCTGGATGAACCAGGATGAACCAAGTTTTTTACGCGTCAAAGTTCTAAACGTGTTATTCTTAGAAGCGCTAAGGCTTAATAAGACGCCAGGTTTCCAGCGAATGATTTTAGCTGATTTTGCGGTGCGCAAGAATGGATAATTTACCCGACTTGTAAACAGATATTTCCTTCAGCCGATTGTGTCTCATGCAGGAGAATGTCATGTGTGCGTTGTTTTGTTTCTACTGAAGTTTAATCAAAGAAAGCTTAAGCGAAAATAGGGAGATCGCAATTTATACTCTTACGAACTATAAATTAGGGCTGACCTTTAAGACACGTTGAATTGTGCCCCGAGATTGTGCCGCCATCCTTCAAAATATAATCTGGCTGCGTTTAGGGAGACAATTTCCTCATCCATCCAGATTTACTTAGTATGTGTGTTTGCGAGAATCTTCAGACGAAGAATTGGGTATACACTGATTCGAATGGCTTGGCGATACGAAGTGCTTAAGTCTACTTACCGATTACAACATGTTTTGGAAGTATTGAGAAGCGCGCCAAACGAGGTTGTCACAGCGTTCTCGAGCGAAAACGGGCGCGACCTGGATTGATAAAATTACCATCGCATGCAGCTATCATGCCAGTGATTTCTCCTTTCGTCGCATAGTGAATAGTTTGTGAGCACATCCTCGACTCTCGAAACATTTGTCTTGCGCCACTATAGAAGTTGCTTTTCCCGCTAACCATAGGTAGATTTCCCGCTTAACATAATGTTTGATAATTTATGCAAAAGTTGACCTCGTGAAAGTCAGCAGTGCATTAATCGACTCAAAAATAAACAGACTTGCTACAGGGTTTTGAACACGGTTTTAATTAAAGTACTTTACGAGCGCTGCGGTAGTTGACCGCAAAAGTGTTACGGTGATGGATACTCAACTGGATGATTACGTCACTTCATAGCAACCAGACGGTACGAATTTTTTAACTTCCGGAGCGCAGAGGCTCGTGATGAGTGACGCCCACTCTTTGGTCTGCTCTGATGTTCCTTCCCGAGAAGGGACTTTTTGGGGGCTCATTTCCCAAACAGCGGCTGGTAATCAAGCCTAATTTCAAGTCAAAGTTATTCGAACTCAGGGGCTGTCAGGGGTTGAGCATTTTCGAACTGTTATCAGCGAAACACCTGTAAAACAGATTACATTTAACATTAAATCCGTGTTAGAAATATGTTGATGATGTTACTTACAGTCGGAAATATGCAGTAAGAGTACTAGAAAAAACACTCGATTTGTTAAAAACATGGAATCCTTGGGTAATGATGACGTCTCAGCCCTGAACTCCCCCAAGTATGAAATGGTTAGGGATGACGTAAAACAGAACTAAATGCCCAAAGGGACCGCTTGGGTTGATTTTGTGACATTCACTGCACCTTTATACTTCACTGTTTTGCGTTTTGTCTGTTCAGTGACATTCCGTGAAGCAGCTGTTTTGAAGCTATTAAAAAAATGCAATTTACATTTCTTTGTCTCATTTTGTTCTCTTAAACAAACGTCATAAACTCTGACCACCAAAGAGAAACTCTCGAGTTTGGCCAAAATTATGGACCGAAAGACACTCGGTAAGCGTGGACTTGCGTTTTGAGAGGCGAATAACAGTGTATAAGCTCTTGGAGGGTTTGCCAGACACATGTTTATCATTCACAAATCTTCTTTTGGATTAGCTCTCCCTCACTACATGAAACTCATTTTAATGCAATCGATACAAGTAAATCTTTGATTGGAAACGATTTTACAGACACAAATCACTGTGGGGAAATTATTGAGAGGCTCAGTCTAAAAACAAGCAAGTTGCATTAAGTGAACGCTGGAATCAAGATAGCAGAAGGATCCACAACTACAGAAATTTGCCTACAATTTATTTCTGCGCTGACGTAGTCTCTCTTTACAAATATCCCTATTCATTTCCAAAATCATTCTCCGGCTGTTAAAATGAATTGCATGTAAAAAGTGCAAGAGGAATAAAGGAAATTAAACCTTCTTATAACATCTTTCCTTATAGTTAAAAAAATTCTTGAAACTGAGAGTGTTTTGATCAAAGCAGCGTAAATCGATTTGAATCAGTGCATGGAATCTTGCGTTTTCTGTTTTTATCTCCCCAATATGAAATCAATATGAGTCTGTAAATTTCAAAGAGCTACACAAGAGTCATACAAAGGCAAAGGATACAATTGACCGAAAAAAAAAAAGAAAAAGGGACGTTGTAATGTCAACTACATTAAACACCTGCATATATATAAGAACCAACACCGTAACTCATATGTTTACCTATGTTAGTAATCGTATTTGTTTCTCTTTTCATTTTAAATTTCCTTTTTTTATATCGATGAAAGTAATATGTTGAGGATGTTTCCCCTTTATCAACTTTATTTGCAGATTCTTCGACACCATCGACACAAAAGACTACAAACTCAACTTCAACAGGTCAGTGATGTTAAGGGGTGGTCACTAAGTATAGTGTTGCAATGGGACTAATTGCAGTGGCGGATCCAGACCTTCAGATAAGGGGGGGTGGTCTTAAAAAAAATTTCTTCGACCCTTCGGGCCTCAGTTTGGTCCAAAAATAACGGGGAGGCCCGGGCCCCCCAGGCCTTTCCCCTGGATCCACCTCTGAATTGCCAACCAAATCTAAAAATAGTATCCAGATCTTATCGCTTTTCAAATAACACGAAACAATGGAAGAAAACAGAACCACCCTGAGTCGGCCCGTGAGTCGCTGGACTGTTATGGGAATTCAAACGTAATTACCGGGTGTTAGTAAAACGCAGGGTCGCGGCCGGAGCCGAGGTCGGAGTCTATCTCTTTTTCAAAGAATACTGTTTTAGGGTTAGGGCTAGGCGCGCTAGGGTTAGAGTCAACCCGAACCCTAGCCATAACCCTGAAACAGCATTCTTTAAAAAAAAAGATAGACACCCGACCCCACGTTCTACTGACACCCGTAATTACCAACAAGTTGCATCGTGCTCCAGTCTAAAGACACATTTTCACAAATTAACAAAATATAGTGTATTAGTAAAATCCAGCTAGTGGTCTATTATCAATGCTGCGTTCTGATTGGTTGAGCTACTACTAGGATATATGTTATAGGCCACTGGTAGCGAAAAGCGCCGGTTGTGAAAACCCAAACAGTGGCGGCTGAATCGCGTTTTGCTAGCTAAAATTGTTTTGTCTGATATTTTTGACCAACTAGTTGGATTTTGCTAAAACAATTATTCTTCTCGCCCTCATGGCCTCTGAGTCAATAGCTCATTCGGGCTCGAGAAATAATTATTAATTAATCCCGGGTAAGCCTTTTCCGATTGTGCTCGGCAACTTTTGAGCAACTTTTGGCGTTTGGAGCACATTTTGCCTTTCTGAGCAACTTTTGAGCCAAATATAGGCTTAGTGACCCCTCGGTTTAAAGCATATATCAAACACGAAAAAGTCAACGATTTTTTGTAATTTTTTTATTTTTTTTTTATTTTTTTTATTTTTTTATGTTTTTTTGTTGACCGATGATAGTAATTATTGTGAAGAACGAAAAATAAAGCTTTTAATTAATGTTTATTTCAATGCCAACTTTTGAAATTTAGGATCGCAACTTTTTGGCATTCCAGTGAGCAACTTTCCAGCATCTTACGAGCACAATGAAGAAAGGTCTAATCCCGGGGGATACTCCCCATAATGGCATATACGGGGGGGGGGGCTCAAAAGGGGTACCTTTTTCAGGCATTAAATCGTTGAAAGGGTAGGGACTTTACTTGTTAAACTACATGAAAGGGTGGTTCTATCTCAGCGATCGTCGTCGCTGCGATCTCTGAAAAGTCAGGTTTCCATATGATCGCTATGATCGCTGCGATAGCTGAACTTTATTTTCTCAGCGATCGCAGCAATCAGAGCGAGCGTAGCAATCGTAGCGATCATATGGAAACCAGCCTTTAAGCTCCCTAGTAGCCTGCGTAGGGTCGCAGACATAATGTACCAGTCAATAACAAAACTACCCATGCCCCCGCACAGACCCCTGGGAATCTGACTTTTTTTTTGAAAGGTTTTGGTCAAATTCCTGGGTATGTTGGTAGTTTAGATGGTCACATACCCAACCGGCTAGCGCTTCAAAGAGTGTCAAATCCCCCACTCCATTAGCGACTATTCATGGTCAAAAATTTTCCCCATGTGTCAAACCGTTTATTCAAATCTAAATTTCCCCCTACACACAACCGAAATATCTCAAGTCTAGGAAAACTGTGTCATGGAGATTTGTTCATTCCAATAACATTGTTCATTTCAGAAAGCCTACATTTAACGGGCTCTTTCATGCTCTGTGCAAACGGACGCAATGTTGGGAGTTGCTGGCTAACAACGTTGCTCCAACAATGTTGCGTCCGTTTGCAGGTAGCTTCAAAGGCTCTCAAATGCTCCAACAAAACAGTGAATATAGGAGCAATGACTTCAATAATCATTGAACGTCATGTACACGCTGAGCAAAACGCTGACCAGCATTTTGACACGAAAGTCAAGCCCTACAGGGCGGGCCTCATTTTGGGTCAAATTCCCCACTGTGCTGAAAAAATGTTTGGGGTATGCCCGGGGAGTGGGAGATTTTGGAACTGACTGGTACAAAATCTAACCGTTGTTAGAAGTTTAATTCCGTCTTTGGCTTAGGCTAGCTAGATAGATTAAGGCTCGGTACAGATAAACATTCGGCTGGTGCACGATATACCTAGCGAATAGCAAGTCTCGAGTTACGTGACAAAGAACACAAAAATGATCGTTATCTCTTACACAATAACACAATAAACCTCACACAGTAGAACGAGAGAATAGTGCATAAATTGACTTGGTATATCGAGCGTCATCCAAACATTCGCTCATGTGTTTAATAGCCACGTTTAACTGAATCTGGATCTCTAATTGTTTTCGAGTAGCACCAGCAGATACAGGAGCAGTAGCAGTAGCAGTAGCAGCCGCCCATGATAACAACGAGTCAGCTGGCCATTGGATTACCGCGACTGCGATTTTAACGTCTGGATTTGGCCTTGTTTTGATCGTGCTTACGGCGTATCACTTTATTAGCAAAAAGTTTGGCAAAGGATACCGCGCATGTAAACGTAAGATGACATCCAATCATTTATCAAGCAAAGGAAATAGAGTGTTTTCACATGACGTCACGGCGGCCATTGTTGGTGTCCCAAAACAATGAAACGGCGGCCATGTTGGTGTCCCAAACCAAACCTCTGGGAGTTGAACTCTTTTCTTATGCAAACACTTTCTTTTGTTCCAATAAATTTGCATAGATGCTGGCCACGTGAGTGAAAACACTCTATAGGGTCTTTGTCACGAGGATACTTGGCTGAGATCATTACTTGATGCCTCACAAAAACGCTCAGATGGATATAAGAAGAAGATGCCACACAAATTTTATCAGAGAGCACTAACCATAATATTTTTTGTCGATTTTTGCGGGCAGAGCATCAAAACTTAAAAATGTTGGTTTTAACTTTTTAAGCTTTCAATTCATGGCCATCCTTGTCACTCGTTTCAACAGGTGACAGGAAACAAATTTCAATGCCTAAATTACATAATTCTGTAAACATATTACACATTCCTATTACATATTCCTATAAATGCTAAATTACCTAAATTACACAAATATAAGGCTACCATACCAGAGGCACCCAACGACTGTTTTCTGTAAACTAGCTGTTCGGAGAAGCAAATATTGCCTAGAATTTTCTATTACTTGAGGACGACTAAAAATTTCGAGAATACCGTTCCATTCATGTACGATTTTCGAAGCATATCGTATAAATTCCCTACGATTTTCTGACTCTTAATTTCCACATTTTACTTCCCGAGTTAAGCTATTTTCTGTTGAAAAAAGGAACCTAAAATTTTCGGATTCAAAAATTTGGCATTAAGAATCAGAAAACGTCTCACTTTCGTTATACGCCAAATTTCACCTACAATTTTCGGAAAAACAACCCTCACGCCCTTGTAGTTTCGGAAAGACTCAATTTCCCCTAGGATCACCGAACAGTTGCAAAGTTTATAGTGCCGCTCAGAATGCATTTCTAGATAGCTTAAAATACTCTGGATAGCCTAAAAAGTGTTTTCAATGTATTTAGGAGGAAACCATCATTGGGTGCCCCTGCCATATTACCTAACCCAACACTATCACACTATATAGCACTTTTGCGGGAAATCAGACGAGGGAAAATTATAAAAGCTTCAGGAAAGGGCACACCGTATTTTGTTCAATAGCTAGTAACTCGTTTACATATAATGAACTGTGATGGAAATCCAATCTCAGCACATTTCATAACAGGCGACTGCATGATATTTCAATAACTATTTTCAAATATCATATGGGTCTATTGCCTACATATTTGTAACTAAGTTCCTGAGCCCAATTGTTCGAAGACCGATTAGCGCTTAAACCGGGGTTAAATTTAACCCAGGTTTCTTTTTCTTGTGTTCAAAAGCTTTTTCTCGGATAATTTTCTCTACTATTTTTAGAGCTTCCAATCATCAACTTGTAGACAAAAAAATTAAAATTGAAATGCTTTTTAGGCTTTTAAATCTTACTTCAAATCTCTCACTAACCCTGGGTTATCTTAACCCAGCTCTGAACAACTCGGCCCTGAAGTACAATTTAAGAACTGAGAATAATATCCAGATTCAACACTGTTAGATATGGTAAACATTCGGAGCAATTTTGGACCATACCTATGGTCTAGACTTCCGAAAGAAATTAGAAATATCTCATCGTTCAGATCTAGAATTAGAAAAACAAACATAGAGGAACTGCTTAGTAATTCTAACTGTCAGAACTGCTATTTACGCCACTCTTAATTTAGTGCTTGTATTCTTATATATAGCGATACATTCTTATCACACATTTTATACATCCAATTTACACCACTACACTTATAATCTTACTGTGGAGAGTGTTACAAAAACTGCTTCTTAGGCCTGTGTATTGTGAAATAAATGATCAATGATTGAGCAATATTTCTCGGCACAGGGAACTATTCCTATCAGTATTTAATAATTATATCATGTGTATCTCAAATTGTTTTAAGGCGAATCATGAGGAGGAATCCTAGTGGCTCGAGTGTATATATAGGAAAGTGCTAACAGTGGAAATATGCAGTCAGTATGTCGGGAAAAAAGAAGTCGATTTGTTAAAAAAAGGAAAGCACATAATAATACATAATAAATAATAAACAATTGTTTTTTGTTTGTTTGTTTCGCAGATGACTTTGAAAAAGGCGTTAAGAGCCATCAGCTTTTCGTCAGCTATAGCTCCAAAGATATGGCCTGGATCAATGAAAATCTGATCCCCATTCTCGAAAAGCACTCCGTATCCTACAGCATTCACACCCGAGACTTTGAGTTGGGACTGCCTATCGTCCAAAACATGGCAGACAGCGTCTATGGCAGCCGCAAAGTTCTGATTGTCTTGTCCGACAACTACCTCGTCAGCAACTTCTGTCGAGAAGAGCTTCACATGGCCGTCCAAAGGGAGGCAGACAGCCGAGATTCTTCGCTTATTCTTGTGGCGATCGACAAGTTAAAGAAAAAGAAGTTGCCTGGTCCTTTGAGAAACAAGCATTTGCTTGACTTTGAGAAGCTTAAGATAAAACAGGATTGGGAGAAAAAGTTGTTAAATGTGGTAGACGGCCCAGGGGCCAAAGTCGCTTAATCGGCCTCGTCACAAATGTTCGTAATGTAAGCTAGTTCCTAAGATAACTAATTGCCAATTCTATCATATGAAATCATAGTTTGACCTAAGCGATAGATCAAGTGCAGAAATAGTTGGCCCGTACTGTTTAGAACCGAAGCAGCTTATGAGTCAGTTAGTTCCAAATGTATTCAAAAGCGTTCAGCTAAGGTCATGCAGATGCATGCACTTTCGAACTAAGATGTGTGCGCAGACTCAAAAAGTAATAATAAACAAAAAAAAGGAAGCTGAGCACCACTAACAACAGACAACTGCAAAAAATAAGTCAAAAGCTCTCACCTTTTTACTTCGCAAGCCGTCACAAGTTAGAATCACCTTGTAGTGCATCGATACAGCATTTGAATAGCACCATAGGAAAGTACTACTCCGTAGCTTTCATTAGAACGTAAACGCTTTATGATTTTACCCACTGGAGACTCAAGAGTCATAGATAATCTTGAAGATTAAGAATTGAATAGGTGCTGCTCAGTAGTCTTTCATTTGTATGGCCTCAGTCCATAGCAGTTTAGTCCACAGGCTTCGAGTAAAATCTAAAGTATCGTATCACAGTATGATGAATAGCGCCAAGAGAAATGAGTACGAACAGCTCTCACCAGAATTGCCAGCTTTCTTTCAAAGTGTCATTCACGACAGACTAGTGGGTTTGAATCTCGCTCTGACCTTTAGGTGGTTTGTCGTTTCTTGGTAGAATCAACATTGACTGTAAATGATGATTTCATGTGTATCTCTAGGCTCGATTTCCAGCCGCTTGAAGAGTTCGCAATCGTATTCTCCTCATAACAAGCTGAAGCTAACTTGGTGTGAGCGAAGGAAAACGGGCGTCGGCTTTCATGGTTATCGAGACTAGTTTATTTCCTGCCAATTGTGATTTTATTAAATCATTGCCGGATTCGGTATGTATATTAACTGCCGGTAAACTACGTGGAGCTGATAACGTCACTATATTTCACTTAAAGTTAATAACGAGACTACTTTATTTGTTCACCAAAGGCAGCAACATAATTTGAAAGAAAACCGTAGTTCAACAGCTTTCAGCTGAATAATCAACACGTTTCAGCGCGAGACACGCGCAACGGGGAATGCCGCGCGCGCTCCACGTCCGCTTCGTGCTCATCTAAAAAATTCGAAAAAATAGTGCATGATTGTTGAAGGTTAGTTGCAAACTTTAGCCCACAAAAATCCTCCGTCCGATAAAGGTGCGTCTGGGTTGCCGAGGACAGCAAAGCCATAAAGTGATGATTTAGTCATAATGTTTTTTTGGAATACCGGAGTTTGCTTTCAGTTCTACACGAGAGAATAGTCATGTAAAAGCAGTAGAAAATGACAAAACTTTTGTAATGAAAGAGGCAAGGATTAGAATTTAACGTAACGATTATAATAAGTAAAAATGTCATTTGTTTTTCCCCGTTGTAAGAAATTAATCACATAATTGTTTCTTTCAATTACTGTAGAAATAGCATGCTGAATGTATGTATTTAGTTATTCAATATTTAATTAATTATTGTAGTTATTATTAATATCATTTAATTTTATCATTATTTAATTTGATAATTATTTAATCAATTGCTGTAGTAATAGTGTGTTGGATGTATTTATTTAGCTATTTAATTAAAATCAGCGTATAAGAATTAGGCTAAACACCAGCCGATTGTTAGGCTGTTTGTAGATCATTGAAATTTGTAATTTGTAAAATGGATATGCTGATGAAAAAGTCGCAATAAAATACAGGAAAGGAACAGTCGTTGTTTTCCCTTAACCTCTCATCTGCAATGTAAAATCTGCGGCAGAAAATCGAGAGACATTTTGTCACTTTACTCGTATTTAATTTTGTCTTCAAAAACAAAATTGAAGTGTCTCTTGGACAGCTCGGGATGCAGAAGCCCGCCAAAAGAGACACCAGGGCAAGGTTACATAAGAGGGCTCTTAACTTTTGTTCTGGAACGACTTTGTACAAGAACGCAACCCCTAATTTCTGGTGGGTGTTCTGTGCATTATTGGGTGCTCTGTACCATTAATAAGTGAAGTTTTTTGAGATTGCATTTGTGTTGACACACATTTGCCTCGCTATGAGGCGCCTGCTTACGTTTTGCCTCACTTTGACGCACTAACTCACTTGGTGATTCGTGTGCCCTCGGCGCTCATCATTCAAACGTTTGCTGAGGTCTGCTATTCTGTCTTCGTAAGGCGTTCATCTTTTAAAAGTTTGCTGAATCTTCGTAAAGCGTACACATTGCAATAGTTTGCTGAAGCTCTCCTATCGTTTTGTGTTTGTTGAATCTTCCAAAGCGTTCATCTTTCAAAAGTTTGCCGTTAATTTTACTTTGAATTAAGTAAATCGATCTACCGAGATGTGAAGCTCGGCGGCGCCATTTCATGATTACTTGTGATATTTTCTGCACCGGACAAACGAACATTTTAGCTCTATGTTATTTATTCGGAAAAACTTATAAACCAGCCCACAGTAACGCCATTCAAGTCGCTGAAATCAACACACTCGACTAAATTACTGGAAAAGGTACTGACGTGAGCCGCACGCACATTCCACTGAAGGCCCTGATGATTCCCTTAAAACGTGTGAAATTGAGAGGCGTGGTGCAAGTGAATCAGTGTTTAAACACAATTCATTGTTCCCCAGCGCTCACCACAAAAAATGTGGTTTTGAGTATATAATATCAACACAAGTTAAGAAGACTTGCCAGTAACGGTTTCACTTTATACTATTTTTCGGTAATTGTCTCCATGTGGAACTCCCAGTAAATAAATTAATAATTAAATCTGAAACGTTGTCAACTGTTTGCCTTTCAACAATACCTGGGACGGGTTGTTCAGAGCCGGGTTAAGATAACTCAGGGTTAGTGCGAAATTTGAATTCAGATGTGGAAGCTTACTATGTAAATTCAGTGTATTTCTGTAGCTCTTAAAAATAACAGAGAAAATTGTTGCTCGTGGTGGTCTACTCCCCATGATGGCCTGTACGGGAAGGCTCCTGCCGAAAGGGGTATCTTTTTCAGGCTTCGGCTATATGAAAGGGTAGGGATTTCACTCGTTGAAGCATACGAAAGAGTCGGGAAATCTGTCATTTGGGTCTGTGAAAGGGCTCAAAGGGCTAACAGATGAATTATGTGGCTTTAAAAAGTCGAGAAAACCTTTTATTTTTGTGATTAATTCCTATCTAAACGACAGTGCATTTACAGCAGTTAAAAGGGATGCAAAGTTCTAAATGTGAAAGGGCTACCATTTGTTAATAGAAGGTATACGAAAGGGGCACCTTTTTCGTGAAAAATGGTATATAAAAGGGTAAAGAGTTAGAGTAGAGGGTAAGGGTAAGCAACCCTTACGTTCAAAATTTGCCATAATCATATTTATCCATCCCAAGAACCATCCACCCTTCCCCCTCAAATGCTACCTGTACGCCTAACAAACATATTGAACGCACTCTCCTAAGCTCCGATTACTCCTACTAGCCAATGTAGAAGCCAATGTAGCTCATACATCAGTGGTGTAATATGGCTGAAGCGCGGAGCGCAACAAACAAGCTGCGAGGCAGGTAGACCATACAAAAGGCTATTGCAGAAGTCAACGCGAGAAGAAACGAAAGCATGCACCAAGGACTTAGTTTCCCCAGGGCTTAGGAACTTGCGAATACGACTGATGTTATGTAGATCAAAGAAAGCTGAGCTACAGAGCTTGCTAATATGAGTAGACATACTAAGTTGAGAATCAAACCAGGAACCTAGATTCCTGACAACTGGCTTTGTGTTCACAACAGACTCACCAACAGTAATACTATTAATGTCAACCTTAGCAAGCTGTTGCTTGGTACCAAAGAGCAAAAACTCAGTCTTATCATCATATAACATAAGTCGGTGTCTAGTCATCCACTTTCTTAAATCCATGATGCAATCACACTGTGCCTTTACCGCACTAGCGTCATCACCCTTCACGTTTGGACTGAACGCCAACTACAATTGCGTGTCATCGGCGTAAGAGTGCACGCTTGGCAAGTGTCGACCCACTGTATCGAATAGTTTGCTGGTGTACCTTATTATAGGAAATTAACGCTCCATGAAATTAAGGTATTGGAAATTAACGTGACTTAAATTAACGCGAATTTAATGGAAAATGACTTTCGAATAAAGAAAATTAACGCGAAAGAGGAGTTAGAATTTCATAAAAAGGAAATTAACGCGATTATCTTGGCCGAAATCAAAGGAAAAGATATTGACATCACTTCTGACAACGATGAAGATGAACTCGAAATATTGTAAACCTTCGCCTTAGCTTTTGTGAAAGATGAAAAATAAAAGGTAAATGGAAAGAAAGAAAGCTTGTAGTTAATGTTTTTTAGGTGTCAAGAATGTCTGGACAGGTTCCAAAATTGGGGTTAAAATACTGGTAATTAACGTCGCGGAAATTAACGCTCAACAAAATTAACGCGACTTAAATTAACGCGAATTTTAATGATTCGCGTTAATTTCATGGAGCGTTAATTTCCTATAATAAGGTATACCGTTAACAGTAGCGGGCCAAGGCATGACCCTTGCGGCACCCCTTGCGCGAGCGGAAAGGAATCTGACAGCCCTCCATTACCTGCGACACGCTGTGTACGGTCGGAGAGGTACGATGTAAACCAGTTGAGTGCCTGGTCAGTCACACGAAGTCTTGACCTCAACCGATCCAGCAAGATGTCGTGGCGTACAGTATCGAAAGCTGCGCTGAGATCTAAAAGAGCCACCAAGGTCACCTTTTGCGCATCCATATTCAATAAGATGTCGTTCTTCACTTTTAAAAGGGTTGATTCAGTACTATGATGTTTCTTGTAGGCCGACTGTAGCTCAAGGTGCAGACCATTGATCTTCATATGATCAGTCAATAGTCTATTTTCGAGTTCGCTATGACCGCTGAATTAAAGAAGTGAAGACGCATTTTTTACAGCCGTACCCTCAATGTGAAGTAATATATTCACAAACTCCAACGAGAAAAAGACCTGTTTATTACTCTGTCTATTGTGTATATTCGAATTTCAAACACTTTCTTGCTAGAATTTCTGAATATTTTACTTTACGTCGAGGCTAACCCTGTATGAATGTGTCGTTAATGTTTATATTAATTCGAAACTGGACTATTGATCAGCAGCTGCTCTTTCAGATAACTTGGAGACATACGGGAGATTGCTTACTGGACGAAAGGTTTTGTACGCGACGTGTAGATCACACTTTTTTAACGTGGGCAAAACGGGGGCCTGCCTCATTCCTGTGCGAGCAGACCAGATTCAAACGACATGTTGATCATACAGGTGATTACCGGTAACAGCACATCAAGAACCTGTAGAACCACAGATGTAGGTGCAGGATCTGAAGGACAAGATTTCATGGCTGCCTTTCCAATAATCAAAGAAACTTGGTCTTGTGTCAAGGTCTTGAAGTTTGGGCACTCTACACATTCGCCCAGATCAGGACCAAAACAGTTTGCGCATGTGCCCATGTTATCTGCGGACGCATCGCTATCGCCGACAAGAGGCTCAGATGACCCAAGGGCGTCCAGTGAGTCATTGATAAGTTCAATCTTCTGTACTAAATAGTTGCCAAAATTATTAGCCAGATCATCGGGAGGTATGTGATCTGGAAACGAAACGTCAGTCGGCTCAAATGGCAATGAATTGGTTGTACGAAACAACTTTCTCTGGTTCGAGCTGTTCTCAGCGATAAGATTAGAGAAGTAATCACGACGTGCACTGTTCATGATCAGATATGCAGTGTGTTTGCGTGCAACCTTGAAAGCGCGAAGGTGCTGCTGGGAATTAGTGTTACGCCATTTTCTCTCAGCCCTTCTTCTGGCCCTAATTGCTCCCTTGATATCACTGTTAAACCAGGTAACGCGTTGCCTACTGATCACCTTCTTCAGAGGAGGAGGAGCGTGCTTGTCAAAGAGGGATGAAAGGGTGAAGTTATAAGACGACATCAACTCTCATAAATAATAAAAGTCCCTCGTACACAATTCCGACTTTCCAAGAACTGAGCGAAGTGAATCAAGGTCAAAGGACTTTAACTTGCGATATGATAGCTCCTTAACAACATGACCAGGCTTAAGCGAGTTCAGAGTGCATAACATAGACGCATGATCTGAGAGATATCGGTCAGCCACGGGAGCGCTACAGATGACCGGATCATGCTCAAGAGTAATCAATAGATCAAGTGTGTGACCACAGTTCATCAACTTGAAATATTTTCTACTTGTGACAGTTCAACTTATAAACCCTTTCAATGCACACTTGTTAGCTTTGTATTGGAAAAAAAAACACAAGTTGTTCATGTTAAGGTCAGCAAAAACCTTTTGGACAAACGCTTTTTTTTTCTTTTGTTTTGTTTGTCGCCGTATTACCTTCGTTTTCTTGATATGTTTTTTCAAATTAAGAATCTTCGTTTCCTCTCTTCATTTATGGCCAACATCATCAACGCTTCCTCACCTTTCTCCTTTAAAAGAGCACTTAAGGCATTTATTTGTAATAATTATTAGTATACTTCAACAAAAATCTTGGGAAAAAGCCTTTTAATATTCAACATTTGTACATGTAAACTTCCGTGATATTGATTAGTTTAATTTTTCACCTGATATTATATTGTACCCGTCGCCGTAATTTTTATGCCATCTTCGAAAAATTGTAATTGAGGAGGCCTAATTAACATAAGCTCTATAGTTTCTTTTAGGCCTCCTCGCCATCTCTTCC